CATTCGGATTTCCACACATACTTTTTTCATATTTATAGTTACCCTCTTTCCTGTATTTACAAGAAGGACTCCCCCAAACAGAGAGAGGTGCTCCCCAACGAACATGAAGTTTTAGCAGACATTACCAGTGCCCAGAGTGGTGAATACGAAGCCAAAGAGGCTCAGGATATAGTGCAGGGACAGAGTTCCCTTTAGTTTGATTATCAGTGAGTTTTTTTTTATTTTTATCACATCGCACCCAGACCATTTCTCCCCCCCCTCCTCATCATCCGAACCTCCCCTGAGCACTCCCAACTCTGTGGCCCCCTCTCTTTCTTGTTAGGGTGGTAGATCCCTTGCCCCCTTACAGCGGGCATGCATACTGGCAGGCCCAGCTCAGGAGGCAGTCCCTGGCCACTTAGACTGAAGTGGAAAAGGGTGAGAAGAAGGCTACTTCTTCGGTTCCCACTTCAGGTATGTTTATATACATGCGGCTTGGGTCACATGATGGGTGCCACGTCATCCTCGCATACAGCCGTAGTCACCTGGGTGTCCCTGTGGGGGATCCTGAGGGCATCTGCTGTGAACATGCGAGTTGGACATAGCAGGGAGTCACCCGAAGTGCCCAGGCCGGGCATGTCATAAGCACACTGCAGGTGGGTCAATGGTACATTGATACAGAGAAAGGTTGTCCGTGTAGAATAAAGAGAAAATAAAGAGAAAGTGAAATAAATGAAGAGGAAGTGAAATGGGGAGAGAAAGAAAGAGGAAGGGGGGAGGAGGTAGGAGAGGACTGGGTGGCAGGGTACCAGGTGAAGTGGGGCCAGGTCAGGCGGGTGTGCCCTGACACTCATCCTTCTTTCCTTTTATTCTCTATTCTATTTCTATCTACATGGACGACCTTTCTCCATTCTATGTATCATTAACCCACCCGCAATGTGCACATGACACACCCAGCCCCAGATGACCTGGACAGCTTCACAGTGCAACCCAGCATGTGCACGTGCAGCACACACCCTCAGGATCCCCCATGGGGACACCCAGGTGACTGCAGCTGTATGCAGGGTGACATGGAAACCTCATGTGACCCAAGTTGCATGTACATAAATGTACCTGGAGTGGGAACCGAAGAAGTGTCAGGGCACACCTGCCTGACCCAGCTCCACCCAGGCCCACCTCACCCACTCCCCCATTACCCATCCTTCTCCCTCCTCCTCCCCCCCTCTTCTCCTTCTTCTCTTTCCCCCCTTTTCTCTCTTTCCTCTTTCTCTTTTATTTCATTCTCCCTTTCTGTTTATTCTTTCTATTTACACAGACCACTTTCCTTTGTATCATTGTACTGTTAACCCACCCAGCTCAGACACCCCAGATGGCTTCCCGCTCTGCCTAGCACATGTGCCTGCAGCGGACGCTCTTGGGATCCCCTGCAGGGACACCCAGATGGCTGCAGCTCTCTCCGAGGATGACGTGGCACCTGTCATGTGACCCAAGCCGCATGTACATAAATGTACCTGAAGTGGGAACTGAAGAAGTAACCTTCTTCTCACATTCTCCACTTCAGTCTAAGTGGCCAGGGACTGCAGTCCCACATCGGCCCATCAGCATGCATGCCCACTTTGCTCCCTGAGAGGGTCCTTCTGCCAGGCGTTACATCTGGGCCCCCTCCACCCTGGACACATCCCTGACAAGAAGTAACCTTCTTCTCACCATTCCCACTTCAGTCTAAGTGGCCAGGGACCATCGTCTGCATCAGGCCCATCAGTATGCATGCCTGCTCCACACCCCGCAAGGGCTCCAGCACCAGGCATCACATCTGGGCCCCCGATCCCGGACCCATCCCTGACATGGTTACAGAATCCCGAGGCTCCGAGGTTAGTGACAAAGGAGTGGAGGTAATCTGGAAGGACTGGAGGTAGTGGAGGGTGATGGCTGTGGATGGATATGACAGTGAGAATTGAACATCCGCCACTCAAAAAAACTGCATAGTCTCAGCTAACACTGTACCACTTATGTGTCAGGGCATACACCCTGACCTAGCCCACACCCGCATCCACACCCACACTCACACCTGTGCCTGCACCCACACCTGGCTGTTGCACTTCCTGCACGTGCCCTGTGCCGGATGCTCCATGTGGCCAGATGCCCCGGGCCCCGGGTCTCGGGTCTCATGTGACTTCCGGATATCTCCAGAAGTTTTCGATCTATTGTGGCCACTGTGGGAAGATGAGAAGTTAACTTCCTTCTCATCTCTGACCCACAGTAGTAGGATTGTGCCCCGGACAGGGCCGGCTAGACTTGAGGCTGTGGGCCATAGGGGAGGGTCATGGGGACCCGGGAGTTGTCCCCTGACATTATGCCACTGGGCACAAACAAGTGACTAGTAACCAAGTAATATATAAACTGTCAAACTTCATGCACACCTGGATATTGACTTCACAACCTTGGATGTGCTCCCTTAGTCTCCATGGGTTGGTTTGGGTGCAATGACCACATGCGTAAATACTAAAAATTCCCGCTAATCTGTAGTGGGTCTTGTAAATTTTTCAACCCTGATTGAATGCATTTGATGACAAGGTCCCCTATTATTGCCAATTCTACATAACCCAGGGTCCTCCCAACTCATTAATTTAAATTTAATGGAGGAACGAGATTAACTTCAAATCAAGAGGCTTCAACATCCTGTCAGGGCCGTCGCCACACTATTCTTGTCGCATTCACTCACACACAAGTCAATTTCACTTATACCACCCCACTCTTACAACATATGCTGTTGTGTCCAGAGGGTGTGGTGTCAATGTCTCCCTCCAGCGTTATGCTTCAGGTCTGTTATAAATGTCATCACAGTCTCAAACATGGTCACATTCCAAAAACTGCACTGGCTAACAATTTATACTTTGGCCCAACATCATCACAGCTTGCAGATTTCATTGAGGAGGTGCTGATTGTGAGAAGACGTGCCAAAAGTTGGATTGTCCATTTACACAATGATTCCTTGTCCCACAAACATTCCATCAATCCTCCTAATACTTCTATCAATCCCACTGCTCAGTGGGCTTTGAAAGGTCATGTGATTGTGTTCCCTGCTAAACCGGAAGCTCTGTCTCCATTTTTACCACCTGCACTCAAAGAGGTCATTACTCCCCTTTGTGTTGTATTTGTTGGTCATGTCACCCTGAAGGGTCAGTTGAGGTTCTGACCTTAGTTGTGACTCCTGCTATCCTCAAGCTGTCAGAAATTAGGCAGTATAGAGCTTTATTTCAACAGGGGAGGAGAAGAGTGAAAACCTGTTTCACCCTTCCCTGCAATTTATATACATTGTTTACATCGAGAAATAAAGAGTAATAAACAATGAATAAAGAAAGCGTGCACAGCACACATTACCACACATCCATTCCCTACACACCCCCACCAAAGAGTGGCTATTAAAGAATGCGTGGCCATTAATAGTGAGACAGGAAAAAGTACGGCTGGCACTGGAATGGCTAATACACAACAACCCTCTGTACATGGATGTAACACTCCATGAAGAACACCTCAACAGTCTGCCTGCTAAGTGGAATGAGTAGCAGGTACTTGCTGTGCCAGGCGGCATCCACCAGTTATTATACTGTACCCAGACCAATTACCGGTCACACATCACATGCACCTTCTGGTCCGGCTGTAAGTGGGCTGTTGTCACACATCACACCGACATTCCGGCCGAATGATCCTTGTCACACCAATTTTTTTTTGGCACCTAAGTGGCTGTGTGAAATCGGATTAAATTCAATGAAAACAAAAGCCATCTGCAAGGAAGTAGTTTTTTTGGTGTAAAATGTATCAACACAAAAATTTGCCAGTTGGACATTTCCAGTGCCACTGTGGCTGGTGTCACACCAACCTTGCCACCTCTTCTGGTTGCTTGTCACACATCACAAGGAGAAGCCGGTTGACTATTTTGTGTCACACTCGGAACCTCAGCCAGTAATTGGTTGTGCGGGTACAGTATTCCGCAACCTCATTACAACTTAGCGTGGGAACATCACGTGTTGCAAATTGTACCAAGTTGTGGCTAAACCTTGGAGAAATCATGTGAGCGACTGGGAAGGAGTCTGGGTTTTGGCCTCCTTGCGCCCCCATCCCTATTCTGGGCATACTTAGCTGTGATAACTGTTGGAGGAACCGTGTGCTATGAGGGTACTCCAGCGGAGTTAACCTGAACAGCCACGTTCCTGCGTTAGCGTGGGAATATTCTGGGAGAGCAACTCGCCCAGAATCCACCATGTGACTACTTAGTCACAACACCTTCTTTTACCTATTTTGGACTAACCCATGCCAGGCCACGGATATATTCATTCATTTGAATTCATTTCCTTTTCCCTCAGTTCTTCACGCATATTGGCTGAGACTGAGGTTAGTTATAACATTCCTTTATTACTATTCCCTTTACTATTGTAACTTACAATATGTATATTACCTTTAGCTTCACGCTTCTAGGTAATACAATTCAGTTCTTCACGCATATTGGCTGAGACTGAGCTTCACGCTTCTAGTCCAGCTCCGAGATCATAAGTCGCTCATCAACAATAACTGGGGAACGCCGCCTGAAGCGGCAGAACCCGCTACTCTTACCCCGCATGCATGCCTCTCTCAACATTGGTATTGGCTGAGATGAAGCCCGAGATTCACTGTTACCCTGTAAACATACCGCCTACTCTGATTTAACAACCACGTAATTTACACTGCAGCGTGCGGCACTTCGTACTCCAGTTAATGCTCAATCGCCTCCGTCGCACCCAGGCAAAAATGAATCTCGCGCGTATTGGGCACAGTGATCCATTGTGGTCTTCATCAATCGAAGGCCATGGGAGTTAGTATGTAGTAATATAGCATCTCACACTGTAGTATACTCGATCTTTCAATTGCCTTTCACAAGCGCGTTGTGACCGCTCGATCTCTTTGTTTCCGTGAACCATCATATTGATTGCTTTACAGAGCGAGTATTGCATCGGCCAGCGCCGAGTTGAGAACCGAAACATCCAGTGAAACATACGAAGAAATGACACAATCCCTTGTCCAACGTACTCGAGCCTGGCCACGGCATCAAAACACCACCCAACCCTGATCGACGTCATTTGTTCCGACGCCGGTCGGGACGCTCTCTAACCCCACAGTCAACCACAGAGCCACATAATGAGGAAAGGACCCAAGTACAGATCATTTGCCATTGCAGTGGGAGGTAACCGGTGTCGCCTCAATGCACGGTGACAAGCAAGACAGACTCGGAGTCTAAAGTGACCATCGCAGTCGGAAACGACACCCTCAGGACAGATCATAATGTGGTGCAGGGATGGTGTATTCGCAAACGGGTTCGGGCCATGGTTGGGGTATACACTGACCAGCAAGTCGGTGTCATAAGCGCTCAACTGCATAGAATTTGGCACGAACTCATGCGAAGGTTTTGCAGCGGCACAGACAGCGCAAACCAAAGTGGAGAGTTGTTGGGAGGAAGTTAGGTAGTACTGATTCAGAATTCGTAGCCAACGTGAGTGTTTCAGGCCAACATGCTGCGCACTGGAGGCGCCATTGTTGGTAAGCGTCAACATTAGAAGAGGGAGCACATTGCGATGCAAGGTGAAGAATGCTGTGACAAATAGTCCGTAGATCTGCATCAGATTCAACGGGCAAAGCAAACTGTGCAACAAAACGACGAAGACATGCACTGCGGAGATCCGCGGATGCAACAGCAGAGAGAAACTGGGAGCGATGGACATTGAGTTGTGCAGCAGAAAAGGCAAGTGCACGACAGCGTGGTTGGACAGGAAGCCGAGCGTGAGCTTCAAGACCGAAGTCACAAGGAGAATCGGCAACAATGTGATCGAACAACAGAGCACGTAATTGATCACGATTTAGACGTTGTGCGGAGGACATGCCGGGTACACGGTGAAAATGACAAAGGGCTAGTGAGTCGTTCCGATTCATTCTGTCCAGATGCCGTAGAATGGACAAGGGATCAGGATATGTTGCTGAAAGCGATGCAGAAGGAGTTGTATGTCGTGAAGGCTCTCAGGGCCGCGGTGGTGGAGTTGAAGGAGATGGACATCGATAGTGGGTAAATGTTCACGTTCTTGCACACAACCCAGGAGAGCAGATCCGTAGCAGTCAGCATTCACAATATGTCGTATCATGCAGAGTGATCCGTGTAGGCATGCATAGTTGGAGATCGCGCGAGAGGAGAGATGGAAAGCGGAAGAAAGGAAAGAATAGGGCCGGTACATCAGTGAGAAGTGAAGTAGCTGGGAATGTATCCACAACTCACTTGTATCGGGAGTGAACATGCAGGAGATATGATTGGTCAGTGAGCTTGAGAGAAGAAGTCAACGGCGAGAACGATGACGTTACATAAGGAGTGGACCCTAGGTTGGGAGGGAGTGAGGACCCGAGGGAATAGAACTGTATGGGGCAGATAATGGACCTTGGGTTTGGGGTCATACAGGACCCTGTGCATAGGACAATTGAGTTGGGGAGCAAAAAACGCAGGACCCGCTACGGAGTAGCGCGCAGATCTCGTAAGTCAACGCGCACCTGCTCCGAGGCTTGGGGATAGTTCAGAATAACACAGCTTCTGCATTATTTGGCACGGGAATAGGATAATTTTGCTCTAAACGCAGTGATATTGCCCCCGTGCCGGATCGCGACAGATATAAACCCCCGTTGCAGGCCTCTCCCTTTCCCAACAGCCCACTCAATCCCAACGCACCCCAATCGTCGATGTTCCTCCACAGACCCAGAGTCAGCCGTGCTCTCTCTGCCTTCGACCATGCCAGCCATCGCTGGGCAGCCATACCTTTGCGCAACCCGCATGACCCAATCACCCAGAGGCCTTCTTCTTCTCCTCACGCTGCTGGCAAGCAGACGCTTTCCCTTACTTCCTGGAATATCCAGGCCTCCCAGCTAAAGCCCGTCGCACGCTCCGAGCTCATCCTCGACCACATCCTCAAAGGACCCAAGTTTCCCGACATCCTTCTTCTCCAAGAAGTCGCGTCTAGCGTCCGGAAGTCTCTCCTCAGCGACCCCAGAGTACGCTCGAGCTTCCTAATCACTGACGCCGAGGACGACACGTCTTTCAAGGGTGTACCATTCGCAACCATGACGTTGCTCTCCAACAAGCGTTTCGGCTCTCCGTTGCTCGCCAAGGAGGAGAAGGGCGAGGGAGATTCCAAGATCGTGCTCGACAGCGTCTTCCGCACGGAGCTGCCGAGCAGGTACAACAGGGATGCGCTCTGCGTGAATATCGCCACCCCAGCTGCGCCTGGCCAGGTCCTACGTCTCTTCAACGTCCACCTCGACTCCCTCGACTCGCAGCTCAGGCGTATATTTCAGATGGTGGTACTGGCTGGCGCCCTGCGCGAGCCCGGATGCAGCGGCGGCATCATCGCAGGCGACTTCAACGCAATCTACCCCGACGATCACGTCCTCGTCGACGAACACGAGCTGGTCGATGCCTGGGTCGCGCTGCACGGGAACACGACGGGGTCTGATGGAGGAGCTACATGGGGTGTCGGCGCCGAGCTCGAGGGCGGACTCAAGCCAGGCAGATTGGACAAGGTCGTCATGCTGGGCTTGCAGCCCACCGAGATCGAAGTCCTCCAGCCTGGTCTCATCGATGCCCATACGCCCTGGAGCGACCACTGCGGGCTGCGCTGCACCTTCACCATCTAATACGGTAAGCAAGTTTTTCTTCTTGCTTGTTTGACGCCTATATACCCACCTTCTTTTCCCCCATAAGTAGATCATTAGATCGAAAGCGGTTGAACCATCATGTTACTCTGTTTGCTCCTCTTTTCCAACGTCGAACAATGTTTACCCACCTCAATCGACGATCCATCTCTCTAGACTATATAAATTTGTACGATACTCGATGCCTCTTCGCAACTCTAGCTCTTGCACTTGTCGTATCTCTCGAATCGTGCTGTAAGCAGATACTATACGCTACTAGTCGCATCAAGCGCGGAATGATGAGACGATGCACTTTGGATTTCACAACAACTTTCTACGTTGATGAGCGACGACGCTCCGTGCCAGCTCTGCGGTGAAGTACTTGAGCAATAAAATGCCACACTCAGCCCGATCTTAAGCTTAAGAAGTCATACAGATAGTCAACTTGAAAAACGTCGCGAAAGCGTCAGAGAGCTTGTCCAGCACCGCAAGTCAAAGCTGACGGGTCACGTCTTGGAGCTTCCCCCCCCCTCGAGTTCGAAGACCTCAATGTTGAACATTGATAAAGGATTGGATGATTACCCAAGATATCAAGCTTAAACTTAATGTGGAAGGTTTTACGGACAAATCAACAATGATATTTCAAACGTAACAGCCCCAACAGGCGGGCAAGCATTGGAGCAAGATGAGTGGGGATTTACGATTTGGCAGAAGTCAGAAGAAAGCCTTGGAGTTGCGATAGATGACTACGGCATCGAACTTACTGCCCTGACTGATAAACCAGGCGTCCAACTCGTGGATTCGTGATTCGTTGTTTCGGTTCGTCTCGCTCCCTTTGTCTCCTCTCTTCACGCATCTGACTCGCTTGTTATGAAGGTTCTATACAACGTCACACGATTCATCGCACCGATATGACGTTCCCGACCTACGAGGGACAAGGAGAAATTTGACGAACCGAAGTGACGAGTCTACAACTTCAAGATCTGTAGATTAAGAAGGGCGTTATGAATGACAAGCAAAAGAAGAGGGGAAGGGGAAGGGACGAACCTAGTCGATCTTGAGGAAGGTCTTCCATTCCTCTTCGGTCCAACAGAATTCCTTTTGCTTGTCCTTGGCAGCCTTGTAGGTGGGATAGAACTTGTTGAACACTATCTTCACGGTCTGCTTCTCCATGTTGCTCTTGTAGCTGATCACACCGTCCTCGTGATACATCTTCCCGAAGAGCTTCATGGCGTCGTCGAAGTCGTTGACAGCCTTCTTCTCCCTGGATTTGAGACGGTCCGAGGCTGCGATGAGCTTCATGATGATAGCCTCCGAGTCCGTAGGCAAGGGGATCGCATCATTTGCAACGACCTCGTCGAGGGACATGCCCTCGGGCATATACATGGCCTACGGATGTGGCATATCAATCACAAGCGAGGAGCAACGATGATTTGTACTCACAACCGTATCGTCGATGATGTCAATTGAAACAACATCATCCTCCTGCTTCTCGCGGTATGTGAGGCCACACCTTCCTTCCAGATTGATGGTGAAGCGCGAGTCCAAGCGAGCGATGTTGTCGCGGATCTGGAACCTGTCGATGCCGGGACCGGACTTGAAAACGACGTCAATGTCCTAGTATGGAGCTGTAAGTAACCGGCCGGACTCCGTAACGCAGGTGAAAAAACGGACCACGGTAGGACGAATCTGCCGGGCTTGAAGATAAAGGCCACCCACGACCGAGACCCGGGTCTTGGCAGCCCACTCAGCGCCAACATATGTGTACCAGCTGGCGAAGAGGGGCTTGAGCCCGTAGTGAAGAAGAGGACGAGTGAGAGACATGATGTGAATCTAGAAAGCAAAGCAGTGGCGTCAGACAATGCAAGGAGGAAACGGAAGCAGGAAGGAAAGCGAACGAACTGATGGTTCGAGAGTGTCTGGTTGGACTATAAGACGAAATGGGAGACTGGCGAGTATATCGCTCAGTCCCATAGTACGTGAACTAAGATGTATAAAGAGTAATTACCTAGCGAGTATATCGCTGGTATACATGAATAAGTACAAGATGACGGACACAGTAAGAGGATAAAGTCAGACTCACCTCAGACCCGTAGTACGTGAACTGAGGAAAGAGTCGTAAGATCCAAAAATTCCTGCCTTTATAGCCAGGTGCTATGAATGCGCAACTGACTTTGGCAGCGACTGTTCCAAGAAAGGAAACAAACGTACTAAACATGAGTTGGCCTCAGCGTACACTACGATCCCAAGAATTCTAACTAGAGTGCTCGCCTTGCATCGCCAAACCTGCACAGCGTGCATGCATTAATTTAGCATAAATTTTAATCCAAAAGACTTACAATACTTTCAGGCAGATAGCATCCCCGGCCCCTTCGATGTGTAAGAGCTTTCCTTTGTCTACTCATCACACTGCTTTCATCTTACAACTCCCTTCGTCATCATTCTTATGTCTTATTCGTCTCCTCCTCCTAGCCTCGCTGCCGCACTCGAACAGTGACATGCATGAGTGTTGTACTGGAGAGAAGAAATAACCGATATAACCGAAATAAATGAATGACCAGAGAAAATATTCGCACGTTTTCAGCGTCAGAAGTTACGTAATTGTGGGCTGGGGAAGTGACTCTGCTGTGCAGGTAATACGCCCACTCGCTGGGCCTACTCATGCAATCCCATCGCAATTCGAAACTTCGAGTGCTTCTCATGCGCCAAAGCTTTTGTGAGGACGTCGGCGACCTGAACGTTCGTCGGAATATATTCGAGTGTTATGTCGCCGTTCTCAACGTATTCGCGGATGAAATGATGTCGAACGCCAATGTGTTTGGTGCGGGCGTGAAGGTGGGATTTGATGCAAGCGCGATAGCACCTTGATTATCGACGAGTAAGGAAGTGGAATGAGCGAGGGGGAAATTGATGTCGCGAAGGAACTGTTGGATCCAAAGGGCCTCTTTAGTAGCATGGGTCATTGCCATGTACTCGCCTTCTGTACTCGAGAGCGCAATGGATGTCTGTTTCTTCGAGCTCCAACTGATTGCTGCGCCGGCCATAGTAAAAACGAAACCGCATCAAGAAATTGTGGCAGTCAACTTTGGACACTTCTGACGGTCCTGTTGCTTCTAATACAATGAAACTGGCCGAATTGACCAATTTCCCAAAGCATCCTAATAAAGGTGTCACGTTTCAATTCAGTTCAGAAGTGAACTCAATTGTTTTCAAACCATCTGAAGTGAAACCCTGAGCACCATTTGCTGATGCAGATACGGAACGAAAGTCCCTTGGGCTCCTGCCCAATCCGAGTCGGAATAACCTGTTTCGTCATCGAGTTTCGAATTCCTGTTACAGACCAACTTGTAGTCCTTGGTGGCGTTAAGATAGCGAAGGAGGCGGTTAATGGCAGTCCAGTGATCTTCCCCTGGATTCGATGAGTATTGACTCAACGTGGTGATGGCATAGCCGATATCTGGTCGGATAAGCGCAGAAATTCAGAGGTGGCTTGAAATTGAAAGTGAGCCACAGCTATGTGAACGCAGCAAGCTTGGCATTATCATTGGAAGAGACGGCAATGAAGCAAGCAGCGATATAACACAGAGACCAGCCGAGTGAGTATCTAGACCACGTAGACGTCAAGGTTCCAAGAGGTCTTCCTTCCGTTTGCCACCTTCCATCTATGCCCATTAGGGCCTAGCTCCCTGACTCTGTCGTAACCTCGTCGAGCTTCACATGTTTGTTAATCTCTCATGCTTGTTATTCACATACAATGTTAACCGCACCTTTGACAATGGACGTAGCTAGTTTTCTTCCACCATTTCACCCGTTGTAAAGCTGTCGGATATTGGCCTTGATATTTCGAGCCCCACCTCGCAGTACAGCAAAAGGACCAGAAGTCCATAATGCAGTAATCGCTGTCTCATTCATTGGGGATGTCGTTATCATCCGAGCAGCCGGTTGCCTCGATGGTGGACAATCATCAGGTTCGCCCTGGAGCCTAGCAGACAGATAGGCAGGTTACCAGCTAGCGGACAGAGCTGCTCTTCGAGACTACAAGCCGCGAAGTACCGAAAAGTGGCGTGCGGTAGTCGCTTTTAATCCCACTCCGAAGCACTTGAAAACCACTCGTACGCCAGATTGATTGGCGATGAAGGGAAAGGAGGACTACTGCAGGGGCAGGGAGTGCAATAGATAGCACTGGCACAATCGTAGTCATAGCAAAGGCTGGTGCGAAACATCGATGAACAGGACTTGTTGAACACTATCCACACGAGAAGGAATTTGCCTCTGTCGCAAGCCTCGAGTGAAGCCGTAGGGATGTTGGAACTGGAGCTGAGGGAAAATATGCGCACACACTCATCCGGGTGCGTTAAGGGTAGAGGTCATGCGAACTGGATTGTGGACCGGTTATAATAGACCCACGACGAACGTGGCAATCCCTGGTAAGTGCTGGGAATCGCATCAGCTTGCTGAGGAAGGTGTTCAAAGATCCGCGTAGCCATATTAACATCTCAAAGCATCGTGTAATAGTTTGAACGAAGCGAATTCCGGAAACAACCGTTTCCTCCTAGTAGCGAGCAAGGCAACCAGCACTATGACCATGAGATCAGAAATTCCCGTCATCGGAAATCCACATTTGCCACCGAATATTTGCACGCCAGCTTCGCTCGACGTCACTCACTTTTTGCCAAATGTAGGCAGCTTGCATCCTAAGGCCGTTGGAGTATGCCGCGCATATTGCCTTCTTTGATCCTTCAATCACGCATTATCCAATGTGTTTAAATTTAATGGAGGCACGAGATTAAATATGCGCCGGCCTCAGCTCTTCTGGGTATCCGCCGTGCCCTTTGCTAGGTCAAGTCCTCGTCTGTACGCAATATTCATTGCTTTATGCCTTTAGACTGTTCATCCGCGATGTTCAGTTTTTCTTAGTTGTCTGGTTATGCAATTGTGTCCATGTTTCTGATTTCTGCTGCTTGATCGGTACGTCGGTGGATTTTCTTTCTCTTTACACGCGTCCGCTGTACGCTTCGGCCTCCGTGCTTTCTCTTCTGCGTCCGCGGTACGCTTTGGCTTCTCAGCCACCACCTCTTGCGTCCGCTGCACGCTGTTGCTCTACAGTCTTTTATCTCTCTTGCGTCCGCGCACGCTGGAGTTTATTTCCTTTTTCTATGACTCTGACGTATATTTCTAACTAATTCTCTTATTAGTTTTGGTTAGGGTGGTTGGTTGGCGTTGAATATTCGGTCTTGCATTGGATAAGGCAGTTAGCCTTGGTTACCCTTTGCAAGTTGGATCCCGGATGTTTACGGTGTCTTTCATTTTTCGGCTCATGCCTTGTTTTTTGTAACTTCACTTCTTCTCTTTTGTTGGCGCTTCTCTGCTGCTACTCTCTGTTGTCTTCATCGTTACCCTCCACCTGCCCCATCGCCTCCTTTTGGGGTTTTTGTACCTACCGGCTCGCTTCAAATCAAGAGGCTTCGACATCTTGTCGGGGCCGTCGCCACGCTATCCGTTACGCCTTCGCCCACGCACAAGCAGGGACATATGTCCCAACTTCCTTGTTTCCTGACTCACACCACAGTTCACTCTTTGGTGGAACCCTCAGCAGCTTTCGCGGGGCAAAGTGGGACTTTGCCTATGGGGAGGCTGGCGCTCCTAGAATTGGCTGGGAGGAGCTTATGAGCGCTGGTGCTAGAAGATCCAGTGGTGCCCACTTTGGAGGGTTCCGCATACCCATTAAACTCCGGTGCCGTTCACCCAATCTTCGGTAGACTCTGTTCATATTCTGGAACTCGTTTCTCGGTATGGCACCCCCTTTGTATTTTTTCTCGTCCGTTAGCGTCATGCTTTGGCGTAGTTCTCCGTTCGGGGCGTCAGAGGTGCGCAAGACTTGTTCGTCTACGAGAGACTACATCCCCTTCCAAACCGCCTCCTTTACTCCGTGTATGGATGATAACAAACCGTCAAGTCCCGTGTCCACGGTGGTGCAAAGCTCTGATATTTTCCTGCACAACTGTGTGGGCGAGGTCTCAAACGGAGTTCCGTCTGCCAAAAGTAACGATTCGGTCTTTGCTCGAACTAAGCACTCAACGTCATCGCAGCTGAGGACTTGGAGGGGCTAGTTTGTAGCCTTATCACCGTCAAAAGTGATTGTGCGATGATCGTCTTCGTTAGGGTTTCCGTTTGGCGTTATCTTGCACCTGAGCTTCCATGCTAGCCGTCCATACTCTAGTTTCCCGGAAACTGTTTTCATTTTTCGGTGCATTGAATCGGGAATTTATGCGTCCTTATTGTAGTTATATCAGAAATGATGTAACACGTGGGTAGCAAAGATCCCGTCTCTCACTTCTTCGACCAAACGTTCGATGGTGCTCGCAATCTCACCGCTCAAGCCGGGGATGCGGATAACGTTCGTTTGGGTTGCATCGATTATTTGGACTCCTTTGATCCCACAACTTGATGGGTTATTTGGAGGGAGGTGTCTCCATTTTATCTTATCACACTTATCCACCGGTCCTAGTCACTGCGACCGACCGCGGCTTGATGCTTCGATTCTTCACAATCCTTTCGCGGATGAAGAGATGTGCCATTCGTCATCAATCGTCAATGGGAGCTAATGCTCCCTGGTCAGGGCCGTGGAGTCCAAAAGGAAGTCAGTGGGTTGCTCTCTTCCTGAGTTCCACTTCACATTCACTGACGCAACAAATAAAAAAATCCTTGGCTAACAAACACAGTGCCACCTTCCTTCCCAGATATCTTCCGTGATTTACACCTAGCTTAGAGACGTGTCAGATTCAGCGGGACCCGAGAGTGGTGTTGCATTATAGTCACCTGGGCGGTCAAAATGCTGTGGATCGATTATGGGGATTGTCAAAAAGTACGATAGTCGTGCCCAACCAGACTAAGAACACAACAGGAGGTGATTGAGGCGAGATCTGCTCGAAAACCGCAGGTCATGGTTCAGGGCGTACGGATAGTGGCAAATATTGGGACGATGGGAGATGTGATCAGAAAGGAACTTCGTCTGGTCAGCGCTCACCACGACGGGCTCGAGATATTGGACGGCAGGACCTGAAGTCAACACTGGCTTCCCCATCAAACCGATGTCGGTCAATCCAATCCTCGTAATTAGGTTCAATATTAGTTTCAATCAACCCAAGTGGAAGAGAGAGGGCCTCGTTTGGTGTGGCAAGATCGACTTCCTCGCGCCCACCTAAGGGACCTTGAAACTGTTGAAGGTAGGCCCACCTGATCCCCTAAAGTAATCTTCGAGCGAATCTCTACAATTGGACAATTATCCTCGAGAATGTTAGACCCTGGTCTACGATGCAGATGACGTAATGCGGTGAGACAGTGCCAACTTACGCAGCCATCCAACCCGTCATCGAGAAGGTTTTTTGCTCCCTCGCGAAACCGACCTCATTGAACTAGTACTACGTGCACGACTCGATGACGCCAGCTTCGACCTGTTCGCAATGGTGCGTGTAGAGATCCCACCGACGATTAGCATTATAGTTAGGGTTCCAGATCATCGGGATCAGGAATGCTCAACCAGTGATGAATGGGAACAAGAAAGCAAAGGACTCGGAAGAACGCGGAAGAACGTAAATCGAAGAGTCCTCAAAGTACTACTGCCACCCCATGAAGCGTCAGCTTGAGCAAAAAACATAGAGCATGTGTTCGGCACGATGTCTTACTGACTCAGTGAAGTTTCTCATGTCATCATTCCAAGGGTAAATAATTCTGGGTACATCTAAGCGTTTGTGATCGTCATGACTGATGCGGAAAGCATTCAGAAATGTTTCCCCATACCTGGACCCACAAATTCGTGATTAGGTTCTCTTTCCAATCACCCTCGTCATGGTGCATACACCTGTTGAAGATTTGAATCTCCCCCCGTGCCTGCTCTGTGCCTCTTTGGCTATGGGTTTCTCTTACATGACTCTGACTATGCGGCGGCCGACTTCGTACAGATTCTGGTTGGAATCCTGTGACACTACGTTACCCCCCTCAATTCTCCACCAAAGAAGCAGTCGTTACTTGCCGTTAGGGAGCAGTAAGTATCATCTTGCACCTTTTTCTACTGATCTTGTATGCTTACTCCTTTTTCTTCTACTGCACCCCCACTCGTTACTTCCTGATTGCTCATCGCACAATTACTGGACGGGCCATTTCTTGCTCCCAGATACTTCGAGCCACATCCACGTTCTCCCCTCTTCCACCGCATCTCTATCGCACCATTTCATCACATCTCTACATTGCATTCACCGAAGGAACTTACCTCAAAGACTCTGAATGGTCAGAAGAGGAGAAGAAAGAGAAGGAAGAAAATCCTCCAAATCCACTCGCTGATCCGGGTACCATGGATGGCATGGTGGAAGGGCTGAAGAAGCAAATGGTCATGGGTGCCGCAGATGCTCGTTATGGGATGGATCAATTTCTTCTTTCAGGGTTTTGTTTTGAGTATGTTTCTATCACGCTTTCCCCCTCCTCCGCGCGGAGCGCTCCCTCCCATGGGATGGTCAAGCGGAAGAGTTCTCCCTGTTACTTAGTTAAACTCCCGTTCCCGCTATCTTCTCTTTCATGATATTTTCTCAACTTAATGGACACATTCGGCTGCTTCTCAGGTCAGAAAATGGTCAGTATATTGATCCGTTCCGATTTTTTTTGTCCGAGCTATTGGCTGAAGGCCAATTGTTTCCTGCCCATTTATGCACTGCCCTTCGTACAGCCGCAGACTCAACGCCAGATATGGCTGCTCAGGCCTCCCCATTCGGCTCCGTGCTGTCCGGAGCTAACGCGCCACCAGTCATTGGACCAGGGGCTCCAGATTACAAGAAGCTTTTTGCTCAAGAAAAAGAGGAGCAATATAAGTGGGTTTGCGATGGCGTAGTGTTGGAGCAATGGGGCAAGATACGTGCTATAAAGTGACCCTATAGGTGCATTATTCGGCTGCGGCTCCCCGCATCTTATGTAGGTGTTTCCTGTCCCGTTGGGCGTTGTGATATAGGGATTATTATTATAATTTTAAGGACAATAGCCCAGGCATATTGAGGGCAAGCTGCCCTGCCAGCAGCTGGTTCCAATATGGATGAATTCGGCCACCTCGCCCATTTTGTGTCGTGATTTAAGGGTTATCGTTATGATGGAGGTCCAAGGATGTGATATTAAATCTCCGCCCAGAGCGATTATGTTCCAGGTGTCGCAGCCAACCGATAAGCGGCACAGCAGCGGCCAGCAAGCGCCGGGTGGTCTTAGCTTGGCAATATTCGTGTCCCCCACACAGGTGCGAACTCTCACGCTCATTTTACTCGGCAGCGGGAACGCCGGAAAGAAGCCTCCACCCAATGGCGGAGCATGGGCTATTGGATCAAAACAAGTTGGGGCGCGTGGTTGATTGCATCGGTCTATCCACAGATGTCTACACAACAAGTCTTGAACTTCTAATCTCAGTTCAAGGTCTCGATCAACATTGCGATACTTACCCGAATGCCGCAGGCTTCGACTGTTGCCTCTCTACGACGCCCCCCTACTTTAACCCCAGAGTCTTCTTGCTTCTTTCCATCTCGACACTTCGCTGCTGCGGCCCTTCAGCATAGCAAAACCAGCAACCCGCTATGAATCCCGAGGCTATCAGGAACAAGATTAACCTTGAGAATGGGAATGTATGTTTTCCGCTTGGTTTCGATCAACAATGCTAACGACAATCCGTAGCTCGTTATTGGTGCATATCACATGAAGCCCTCACACTTGCAATGTGACAAGACGAGACGGGACTCTGACCCCTCTTTTACGTTCTCTTTAGTCGCTAATCTTACCATCTTGATCTGGGACTGGTTGATCTGTCTGGACCGCGAAGTAAGATGATCAAGAGGGTCGAAGGGAGTGAAGGTGTAATTGACGCTTTTCAACAGCGGCGACATTTCTGGGGATCGAAGCCGAACACGGGGACTGTCCTATACTTTCTTGTGAGTAAGCTAGTAAGCTATGTCGGCGTGTTAACTGGTTGTGCTAAGACTGCCTTCCCCCAGAATAGGTGGTCCTTATTGATACAGGCATAGGCTTGAGCGAATCTGACTTTGGGGAGCGTTGATTAGAGGGGTTTCCATGCTGGGCGCCATCCTACATCTCCAGAGTGGGTGTTAAATTCTACTTGGTACTATCATTGTATTGGGTTTGTTTCTGATCATTTCTGTATCGAACCAGCATCGATGTACAATTTTGCTCATACGCAACCTTAAAGCCCTGCCCCGTTATGCTCGAACTCGTTGGTTCCCCTCCTTAATTAGCTATGTGGACCCCTGTTCCGCACCGTTACCTCTCTTTCCGCTCTCAATATTGCAGTCGTACAGGGTATGCACAGTCATGCCTTCCCCACTACTTAAGAGGGGAAGTTGACTACCGTTCGCTATAGTTATTTTAACGATGCGTACATATGCATTGTACAGTTGCAACAAAGTACTCTTATGGGCGCTTCTCGTTCTCGTCATGGTACGTGTAATGCATCAGACTTCAAAACATACCCCCCAGACAAAATCTAACGTTATCGGAATGATTCAACATCGGCTAGGGTGGATTGCTGAATCAAGTGGTGTTCATGTGGCTCGGCCCGTGGACAGGTATGGACCGTATGTTTGCGACGTTGACCTTACCCTCTCATGCTTCACATAAACTCTCAGCCAGCTCCTTATACTGGGTGTCTCATTCGCTTGCCCACATGGTCATGGGAGCGACTCGTTCCGGTTATGGTCTTTGAAATCTGTATGTCTGACTCCATCATACTGGCTTGGAGCTGTTAGTGACACTCGCTGTGGTTGTAATTTTTAGTGTCTATAGTCTTGTTCGCGATCAAGTTCTGTTTCTACGTCAAGATGGGTTCAATGGGTGTAGTGCAAAGGACATTGTTCCGCGATGGTAAGATCGTCTCTTTGTCTTTCATGTCCATTTGACGCTAATTACATCTGCATATATTGACGTGCTCAATAAATAGGTTTTATTGGGTTTCTTGGTGAGTGGCAAGCGCGAGGTTCAGATCGATGACTCATTTATTCGAATGATTACGCTGCATTAGCCACTTCCAGTACGAATCTATATTCTCATGGGGAATACAAGCTTACATGCCGCTACTTAGTATGTACATCTATTGGGCTACTTGTCCAGATTTTACGGCCAGTAAGTTCGCTGCAATTTGACGTCAATCTAAAACTTACTATGCCCGTTCTCATCTTAGCGACCATTGCTTACTTTCGGCATTGCGTAGGTCAGAATAGAGAGCACAGTTGTCGACAGGCATTCTCACTCTCGCCTAGTCTCACCCCATTGATTCCCACCCTCGTTGCAGCCCACATGCTCCTCAATATTAAAAGTTTCTTCTCCGGTAGCCAAGCCGCCTGCCCCAACAGCAGTGCGACGTACACAACCTCGAAGTTCCCAGCCACCCGTAAGGGGGAGCTTCCCAGGTCAGCAAGTTGATGACGCTGGCCTCCAGATCCTGGTGCCTGATTTAGAGCGGAAGGGTGCAGACAGTGGAGGGAAGGACCACTATGATGACGAGGACGACGAGGACGATGATGACGGGGACGGGGACGGGGACGACGGTGACAATCGTCGCGACCGGAGGGGATATCACGGGTTTGGGAATGCGGACTCGCTCGGGGAGAACTGGTACGAGATGAAGGCTCGGCCATCCGAAACCCGGTACGATCCTAGAGGGACAGCGTCCCTCTCCCTCTCTGGACGAAATCCTGCTCCAAGTGAAGGAGCACACCCAGCATCGCCCGTTCCTGTAGCACTATCAGCATCCACTAGTGTTATCCTCGGCAACGAAGAAGCTGCGGCGGGTAGTAGTGTTGGAGGGCCATACCTTCCCCAAGAACGGACGTATCCTTTGCGGGCTGGTGGAAGACGGTTAGAAACGACCCTTTCCCAGCGTTCGGAGGAAGGCGATGTGATTGATATTCAGTAGTGAGAGATAAAGATGTGTCTGCTTGGTGGTAGGGATTTTTTGGGAACATTCAACGTCATATCCACTCCTTTTTATTTCATTTTAATTCGCAGACTGTTTCTTAGTTCTATCTTGCTTTGCTTCCCCCTGTCCCGTTTATCTTGGTTAAGGATGACTGTTTGTATTGTTGCATCTCGAAGCTCACAGCTCTGGGAAATGATGGTCGAGAGCCGTGAGAATTATGTAGTTCATGTGAGAGCAACTCATTCCTGATGAATGGCCCGGGATGCCAAAAATGCCTTTGGTGGAGAGCTTAGATTTGCGTCGGCGCAAAGGGCGTTTCCGCATCAGAAAGGTTCAAGAAAGGGTCACTGAACGGGGGGTAGATCCTAGCAAGGGATGGTATTCGGCCCCAATACCAGGGACAAACCTGGCTATCGCACAAAGGCGCTAATGCACAGCCATGCGTCACTTTTCTCGCTGCGTCACCAAGATTTCAGTCTCACTATGGCACGGGAACAGATGATTTGTAGGGTGTCTCCTTGCTGCTAGTAGTGTGAGTTTCAAGTGGGGTTCTTGCGGTGGCGCACATCTTGTGGCGATTGCTTGGAACGCCAGGGTCGGAAAGGATTTACAGATCCTGTTGGCACACAGTGATACGGTGACTTCCTTTCTTAGTCCCATGTGGTTGTTACAGGGTCTCGGCCATAAAGACGGTGTTAGGCACATGTATTTTTGTGGTGCCCTCATCGTCATGGCTGTGAAAGCCGTTGCTTTGTTGTAGAGCATTTGGCAGATCCTGGCTGATTATAAAACTGGGCTAAGCTAACGCTTGGTGGCTTTCCCCGTTTCACTTACCGCCTAATCGCTGGGGTGTACGAATATGAGCGCTAACAAGCATCAATGTCACAGAGAAAATTATCCCACTCATGGCTCATCTTCACAACCACTGCTTCCCTCGGCCTCCTCAGAGTCCCGTCTTCCCCACAATCATGTCACTAGCCCCCAGATACTCCGAAATTAATCACAAGAACATCCTCCTCGATCGACATGGAATGCTGACGGAATCTTATCCGGAGTCCATAGTGACCGGCCAGGCCGACAGTAATCCAAAGAAGTCCGAATCTCTTGTGGATCGTATACTCAGGAGGATCCATAGAAAATCGAGTCCTGATCGCGGCTGACTTAGAGACCGCAGTTTTGATGTTTCAGCGGAGGGGGGTCTTTCCTTGTCGTTTATGGATTCTGCGAAATTCGTGCCCGAGTCCTGCTTTGGGCACGGAAATATGAACTCATCTCGCGTTACTATATATACTATGTTCGTTCCATTGAGAAAGATCAACTTCATCATTTTGCTCCCAAGATAGTAATAACATTTACGCGTGCACATTCCGACAATTGGTGTGCGATGGCGCAGGTGCTGGAGGCCTAGGCTTACCTTGGGCGTCTGGCTAACAACCTATCACCCATCTTAGTATCTTCCTAGGCAATGGCTGGAGTGCAATAGTCCCCTGGGGTATGAGCGCTTGGTGGTGAAACCCACGCAAAGGCATAGCAGAGTCCCGAACTGAGAGGAGAGGCAATCGCAATGCGACGAACTTCCACCCCATATAGAGAATGGTTTTTGCTCGTTCATGAGGCCGACCTCGTTGAATGACAGGAACAACCTAGCGACGTTGGTTTCGATGCGTCATTGACGCGAAAAGAGATTCCATTAATGATTAGCATCATAGTACGGGATTCCAGACCATTGGGACCAGGAATGCTCAATCAGTAACGAGTGAGGAAAACGAGAAGCAAACAAATCGCCGGGAGAATGCGTATCGAAGAATGCGTATCGCAGAGTGCTCAAGCAGCTGGTTGGTGAGAAGGGGTATATTCTCCTGACACATTTGAGAAGATCGAACTCTGAGCCTTATGTCGTGCTCAACTGAGCCTAGCTGAAGTACTGCCACAAAACCCGCAAAGCGTCAGCTCGAGCTTAGGAAGAGAGCCTGGACGGCTGTTTGACCGACGATCATACGAAAACACGTGGTCGGCGACCCCTGTCGATTTTTCTATTGCAAAAGGTGCAAACTGAGCATATCACTCGAGCATATCACCTGCCTCTGTGCGCGTAGTGGGAGCTTGTAGAGCGGGGAAGATCACATCAACACGCTAGGCGGAGTTAATTCAGACGTTGTAATTCTTGAACAAAGTAAATTGGACGAGACTTGTCCACCCACTGGTGCTGTGCAGTAAACCCACCACATCCAGCTTCCCTCTACAGAAGCATTTCATATGCATCATGTGGGCGCAGCGATTGAGCTGTCTTCCGTTCACTCTTCCACACGGGCATCCTCCCCATGATTACATACGCTCGCAGTGACCGGCCAGACCGCGCTTTCTAGTGACAGCAGTCCGAAGAAATCAGATCTCTTATGGCTTGTGTATCTAGGAGGGCACGTAGGAAACTGAGGCCTGATCGCAGCAAGCCTGATACTCCCAATCTCGTTGGATCCGCTGATGATGTGGCGCCACCCTCATTTTCCCTCGCTCCTGAGGGAAGCATTGACAATCCTCGGGGAACATCCAGTTCACATGCCAACGCCATCAGCCAGCTCAGGCAGTGATCGAAAGAAGGGATCATCGGCGCTACGAGACTAATTCTCCAAAATGGAGCCTCCGCTCTTAAATGTCCCGATTCCGAACCTTCATGGAATCCTAGATTTGCTTCTGACTTGGCTCAAACCAGATGAAAGCGTCCGAACCTTATGAGGCCTGAGCCGTCGCCACTGGTGTGAAAGTGCCTGATGGAGGCCTAGGCACGCTCTTGTTCACAGAAATATGAATATACCTAGCCTGAGGGAGGTTAACACGCGGGGCCCCTGATATTGCATTGACGCTTCCAGCCCATCGGAAGGTCCAAAACCCAAATCTAACATAGTCTCACAACCATATCGTGCCCCGGGCCGCCCCGACTCTGGTGGGATGTTTTGTCACGTCGACGCAACTTGCGTGGAGTGAACATGTCGCCGAGTAAAACTGCAATCAAACCCCCCCATCCGAAGTGCACGACGAGATTGTGGATGAACGAACAGCACCCAGGATACCTAAAGAGAAATATACTGCACTTGAGGCAGCATCCCCAGAGCATTCATTGAGAACGAAGAGTACGCCCTAAGATGAATTATCGACTCCCAACAGCTCATTCGCTGAATCCATACCGATGAGCAAATTATCCAGAAGGTGTTAACCCAAAGGATGAACGAGGGTTTGTTGAATAAGTGGACGCTTCGGGAAAACCACTGGCAGCTGTGCACCCGCTCCATTGGAGAGCAGTGTCAAACCTGAAAGCGTATCAGATTCGGCAGGAACATGCAGAGTGACCATTGCACTGTAATTATTTGGAGTGGCCAAAAATGCGACGATGAGATTTCCAGTAAGCGCGATAACCATGCTCAATCAGTTCATGGTTCCAGAATGTATGAATGGTGATAAATATTAGGACGATTGGACAGAAATTTTGTTTGATTGGCGCTAACCATGACGGGGTTGAGGGACTCCTGCGATTGGCAAATGCTTCGTTAACTGAGCAAAGAAATCTGAGGATGTTGAAGGGCGAGCATATCGTCACTAGGAGCTCGTGTTCGGGCGAAATATGAATCCCAGGGGCCAATGAGGGATGAATGACGCAATGGGGTGAGTCACAGGGTCATCTAGCTCGTTACTGAGAGGGGCTTTCTCCTCACTCGCAAAATCAGCCTTGCATACCAGACTCGTACCCAGTCGGAGGAGCTCCGTGGACGCGCAAAATAACAGCTCTTTACATAAATAGACGTTCTCACGTTCTGTACTCAATGGGAACGTTTATTTACATTGCGTAAAGAGCTATTTTCCAACGACGATGCCAAGCTTGCTGTGTGCGGGTTCACATAGCTGCGGCCTGCCTTCAATTTCAAGCCTCTAAGTTTCTGCGCTTATCCGGTGAACTTCGGCACAGTAAAATCTGTGGAGAGAAAAAACGTGGATAAACATGGCAAGTAAGAATTTCTAACATTGCAATTTCCAACCTATACAGTGGTGCTACTTAACTAGGTACTGCCCCTTCAAATAATGTCGCATATGCATCATGTGCGCGTGGCGATTGAGCTATTCCCCGTTCACTCCACGCGGGCATCCCCCTTACTACCCCAGTGCAATGCCTAGAAAAAATCCGTTCAAAATCATCCCCCAACGTAACAAAGGAAGTCATTCCGCCCCCTCCGAGTCCCCTCATGTTCCCCAGATCAATATCACTAGTCCCCAGATACCCCGAGATCATGACAACACTCATAGCGATCGACACGGGTTGCCGACGGAGCCTTATCCTGAACCCGAAGTGACCGGCCAGGCCGTGCCTTCTATTGAAAGAGCTTCAAAGAAATCGGAATCTCTTATGGGTCATGTATTCGGGTGGGCCCGTAGGAAATTGAGCCCTAATCGCAGCAGGCCTAGTGCTCCCAATCTCGTTGAACCATCCAGACCAGCCACGCCTCTCCAGCTGTCCGCTAATGATGCAGTACTTCCTTCATTTCCCCTCGCCCGTGGGGAAAATATCGATAATCTTCGTGAAACATCTGGCTCGTATGCCACACATGACAATGGCCTGAGCCTTCATGCACAATTGGAACGCGAAGGTATCAACGTGCCCTCCTTATTGGAACCCACGATCACACGATCGGCCAGCTCAACCAGTGATCGGGGGGATATAATCATCGGCGCTACTAGACTCATTCTCCAAAATGCGGCCTCCGCCCTTAAGTTTGCCCCGATTCCGAATCTTGATGCAATCCCGGACTTGCTTTTGAAGTGGCTCGACGTCTACCAGGTGAGATCATCTTTTCGTTTCGGGGGTCGATGAGAATACTTTGTTCACTCTCCCAATGTTTGTGACATGATTTGCACAGACGGTCGGTGGAAACGACGAAAGTCTTAAAGGACTGGACGATGACATCCGAAAAGCCTACGACACCATTTTTCAGCCACTCGCGCTGTCGACTGACCGTATACCCGATGAAGTGGTTTTTTTCATCAAGGGGTTCCACTCGTACGTCCACCTGCCTCCTTTGCCACACGTTTGATTCGATATTCCTGTTGACAGGGCCCTGGAAGCACAAATAAAAGAGGTCAATGCACTCAACAATCAAGGTCCCGTCAAGAGGACGATCTTAGCAAAAGAAATCGCCACGAGGATAAACGATGTGAAGGCATGTATAAATGATGCCATTAACAACTTCTCGGTTCGTTTCCATTATGGAGGCTTTCAAGTGCTGTACGCACTGACTGATTGCGTGCCAACAGACCCAGGCAACTACTTTAACGCTGCTTCGTACAATCGAAGCATCGGTGCAATGTACGTTTCCAAGCTCATTCTTAGGGTCTTTCATCAACCCTTCCTTTTAGCTGAACTTAAACGGCTTGGGGAAGTCGCGGCCGAGCACACTTACGTGAAAAGCAAGTCAGAATCCCTTCCAAGCACACGGGACAACATACGGGAATCGATTCTTGGTCATCTGAAAGATGCCAGGAACCGATTTGTCTGGCTACGTGGATCCCCCGGTACCGGGAAGACGGCGATAATTATGAGCATTGCATCTATGCTTGAGGGGGAAAGCGCTCTCGCAGCCTCATTCTTCTGGGACAAAAACCAAAAGGGAACAGGCCTCGATTCTTTGGAGTTGTTCCCTTGTACCCTTGCACGCCAACTTGCGCTCTTCAGTCCGGACTTCAAGGTGTCACTCGTCAAATGCCTTCGGCGGCCAGACATGAGATTGTTTCTGAAGCTTTCTCTGGAGAAGCAGATGCGGACCCTGATCATTGAACCGATGAATGGTCTTAAGGGAGCGTTGTTTGAAGGTAACCAACGCTTTTCTATCATCTTGGATGGCTTGGATGAGTGCGGGGGTCCCGAGGAACTTGACTCCCTGATGGAGCTCGTGCTTCTACTTCGCGAGCTGCCCTCGCCCTTTGCTGTACTTGTTAGCTGCCGGCCGGAGTTTACAGTTCTTTCGTCTTGGACCAGAGTGCGGGATCAGGGTCTTATGATCCCCTGTGAAGATGTGGATCAGATTGAACGGGACACTTTCCACACCATCCGTTGCATGGTGGACGGAGGATTTCACAATTTTATCGAAAACTCCCTATGGAAACCATCTGACGAAGATCTTGATGTCTTTGCGAGAGGTTGCCGTGGATTGCCTATTATGGCTTCAACCCGAATACGTGATGCGAAGGTTCAGATTCGGTACTGCGGTTCGACTCTTAAATCGGAGTTCGAATATTTCCGAAATCTTATCGAAGTACCTACGGATCTGAAGTCGGAGTACTTGCGAATCATGCGACGAGCCTACATGCCGAATTCCTCCAGTGTCCGTCCACATGTGGCCAAGACCTATCGCGAAGTAGTTGGGATACTTGTTACCGCCAGTTGGAGTGATCTTGGCACTAACGACATATCGCAACTCCTAGAAATTGCCGAAGATGAAGTGCACTCAATACTAAAACCCATTAGCTCGATAGTTGATCTTTCCTCAGACAATGAGCAGACTGTCAAGTTCTACCACGCAACAGCAAAGGAGTTCATTACAGGAGATCCTATCGGTGAGAAACAAGATGAAGTATTCTTTATTCATGATGTCAAGGGGTATAGCATTGGATTACGACTTCTTCGATTTGTCAATGATGTCATGAAGAAGAATGAGTTTGGCATCCCCACCGAACTCCCTTTGGGAGACAGAAGGAAGTGGGAGCTCTTTCAGAGCAAGCAGACACCTAGAGTTGTCAAAAATGTGCTCGAGCACTTGTTTTCTCACTTGGACCCTTCGCTGCTCGTTTCACAAGAATCTAATGAATTGCAAAGAGAATTTGAACAACTTCTTACAAGAAACTTCCTCTCATCCTTGTCATGGAATCATGGCCGATGGGGTGTGTTAGGGACATTTCATTTATTGAAGGAATGGAATTTGAGTGCACATGTGGGTTCTAAATTAATCGTGTTTCACGTATTTCAATTATATGACATCATTCTTTGCGTTGCAGAACCACAAATCAATGGCGCTGGTACAGGAGATGCTCAATCTTATATGGAGGTTGGGTTCCGACGCTGATCCTTGGCATGTTTATCGATCAGGCCTTCCATTCACTCCGTCGTCATCACACCTCTATGAATTCTATGGCCATTTCTCAGATTCTGTTCGAGTCCTCAGTGTATCCGGCGAGTTTTCTGGTGGCTTTATTCCTTTGAGCGAGGATGCACGTGTGGCTCAAGGGGTCATGAAGGCAAAACTGGCTGAGCTGCCAAAGAAGTTTGATAAATACGGCGAGGAAACTAATTATGAAACCGAGTTCGCTGAACATGATGTTCGCAATGGAATCGTGACCTGTGCAGCAATCTCTCAAAATGGTTCTCATGTTGCCCTTGGCTTTGGAAACGGGGTCATTGAGATTGCCAACATCGACCATCACTGTATAATCTCTCGATTACAATGCAATCCTCCCAAACCTCCGGTTTGGATCGAGTTTATCCATGGTGGCAACATTCAGATTGTCACTGAGGATACCGATGGAAACATCACTATTCTCGGTCCTGGAAAAACCCTGGTGAAGTTTGGAACTCTCCTCAATGGTTGTTTCCCTGCTGTAACTGCGGTGTCGAATGATGGATCTTTCATCATACGAGTCCCACAAAATCTCGACCAGGCTTGGTACGAGTACATGGCACTCATACGTTTTTCGGGCGAGCCATCCATTCAGCTTCTTCCATCTCCTTCCACCCCTTCCCCTGTTCAGTCTCCCCAATCCCACTCTGATCTATCCATTCCTCAACGTCACACAGTTCAATTCTCTCCAAGGGGCCGATATGTCGGCGCTTACGACACAAACTATGCGTTCGTCTGGTCAACAGATCCACACAACTTGTGGATTGCTCAATATCGCGTGCAAAATTTTGAGACCTGGATTTTCAACACGGGTCTTGAACCCCCTTGCCTACATGACATCCCTATGCCTGTATTTCGTAACCCCACCTTGCCTTTGTTTCCAGCAACCCATCCACCAGGTACTGAGCCAGATTTAGGGCACGATGCGGATGAATCCTGGTTGAAGCGCCCTTTTTACGACCTCTCACCCAGCATAAAAACTAGCGAAGACCGCGTTATTGAAGTCTATTCCTCCGCAATGGGAAGGATTCCATTAACTCGTGCCTCCAATGGCATTTGGTTCAATGGGAAAATTGAACTCATTGTCCCATACAACTACATCCCGAGCGTACGATCCGGAAACTTTTTCAGCGAGAAAGAAGCCTGGTACGGCGATGTGATGCTCGAAGGTGGGAGAGATTCGGACCCCATATTTTTTCCTCGGGCAAGCAAGGGTGGGACTCGATTTCTGCTCCAGGGCAAACTGAAAGCCCCAGTGGTCGTCGATATTAGCCAAGTCGTTTAGTGCGTCTCCAATCATTTCTCTGGTTCCTATTCCAATGTTTTCCCTTTTCAATGCATTGGATCGGGACTTATTGTAATTATATGTACGTTTAATATTGATCTCATTTTCAAAGTTTTACAAGCTTCTAGTATCCTGTTTGTGAAATAATAGAACTTAAGAGGATATCGATCAAAGAGCTCTAGCGTTTTGGTGGGGTGAAATTCCGCAGTCTTTGTGGACAAAACCTCAGTACTAAAACATACTAACGGCGCGGCATATTGCCCTCAAATAAAAGTGTAGGAACGTGTGCCAAGCAGCAGAAACGACACATGCGAGATATAAGTATACACGACAGGACAGAGCATTGGAGGTTTGTCCTATTCCCTTGAAGAACTTCGGAAACACTGACGATCATCATGAACTATGAACCGACGTCTCGCACTTGGATTCGGAGCGCAAATAGGATGACCTAAGGGATCATGCATGCGAAAATCTTCGGCTCGACACCGTTCACCCCACTGTCTAATGAGAGAGCTGCAACGTGGATCCGGATTCCTGAAGTGTTTGCATTCCTTTCCCAATTGCTGGCAGTTGAAACTGTGGAACAGCATTTGGCTCCAACCAACACCACTGGGTTGGTGCTCAAGCCTTATTCCACTCCTAGTGCATCTCGCTCCTCCCGACTTCCCCACATCCATATCACGAATCCTCGGATCATGACAAACCCCCCAATCAACACGGAGTGCTAACTGCTCAGACTGCATCTTCTCAGCTTTCTATATCATTCGAACGACGTTCTACGGCGGTGAGGTGATGGCTTACTTGTAGGGAAAGCGTATTGATGGCTGAAGTAATGGAGGACAGAGATACGATGTTGCCACAATTAATCTTGGCCGCATCCGCCAGGTTAGGAACTTGGTGGTTGTTCCTCGCTCTGGGCGTGAAGTTTTCGAGCATAGCCTCCATCAATTTGACTAGCTCGTAGGCCGTAGTGGGTCATTGGAGGCCGGCAGTGTGGTGTCTGGGGATTGACGAGGGATGCAGGCATAGGTAACAGTGTTGACCTGGTTGTAGAGACAGAGACGTTGCGTTGGGTCATGTTCGCGCAGAACGTTTAGGGGGCACGTCTGGGGAGGCAGGATGGTTGGATCTAGAGGCGGTGTCTCAGTCTCTCCAGCGCTAGTACTTCTTGGTATTCTTGCTACCAAGCATTTTCAGTGGGGGGAGGGATTGGCAGTTTGCAGTCTGCGCATATTTGTTAGAACGGGAATGGGAGTGGCCGTAGATGTGCTGACAAGACTAGGGAAAGCCTGCCTCTCGTGAGACAATCGCGAACATACCAGATGTAACTCGTAGGAAAGGAGAGCTGTAATACAGACGTTGAATCAAGGACTGGAAATGGCTGAATGGGTTGTGGGATCACAGATCTAATTGTCACTCTCGGAAGGAAGCAACATCTTGTACTTCGGTGCCGCGTACGGTATTAAGGTGTCTGCTCCCGGTGTCGATGTGGAACGATGTCGCAATGTGGTGAGAGTGCCACCCGACACATGCATTTAACTCATCACTGGGAGGGGCATTCTGCACTCACAAACTTACTGGCCTTCCATATTGTGTAACAAGGACAACATGGTGACGTTAGCTTCGATTCATTTGAATAGCATGTGGAGATCCCACTGATCGATAATCAGCACAGCTAGCTGGACTTGACAAATGTAGCATTATAGTATGGAATCCCCGATCACTGAGCTCAAGAATGCCCACCAGCTTAGGCAGGATACCAGCCTACAACCAGCTTTGGATTAGAAGAATGAGAAGCAATGGAAGCGCCGAGGCGCGGAGGCTGTGAAAGCGTGCTCACTGGCACGTGGGCAGAATAAGCGGTGTTCCCCCGTGGAGCTTAGAATATTGGTCGCTTTGGCTCTGAGCCTCAATGACGTATCCCACCCAATCTTTCTGGAGTACAGGTTACAAGGTATTGACTTGGGACACTGGTGGGTTTAACCGATGTTTCACTGACAGGGGATTGAATCGACGTCGCTGGTTTCATATCCCTGAATAGGAGGCTGCCACGATCATTCACCTTTATTCTGTCCCCCGCCACAGGGGCCACTCTATCCACCGTCCGATTCTGTTTGACCCCCCATACTCCCTGACCCCTATTCTCACCCCACAGGGCTAGCGACAGCTTTATTGACTCTCGAACACTTTCAGATGTGACTGCAAACCTAAGCTGATATTAATGGCTTGATGCTATCATGCTCTATCGACCAGCCAGATCATTGTGCACTCACTCAGAAAGCGAGTGTCCCTTCAATTGTCCATCCCACGAATTGAATCCTTCGGTACTCGTCATAACGCACTCTCGATCCCAAATCCACGCTCCCAAATGCCTCCCTGAGTATGCTCCACCAAATGACGTCTATGGAACCACTCTTCCGTCGGAATAGCACTGGGACCATCGCGGCATTAACCAAGCACTGCTTCCTTCCGAATTGTAAACATGCCGCAGCTCGTTCACGATACGAGTGACACAATCTCCAATCGTCACTCACCCATGTAGGCGTGCAAGCGGATTCCACCCCCACTTCTCACTTCAAATCCAGACTGCATGTCATCCCAATATTATCAGGATTAGCGTTGGCAACCGGTCCTCTAAAGTGCGTTGCTAGCTTTCGCCCCGGCCCTGGCTACGCAGCTCATAGGCCTTCCTTCAATGCCACCCAGGTGGCTCCGAACGTACCCTATTGCTCCCCTGTTAGATTGTATACCGGAGGCTAACTTTCCCTTTAGCGGACCGAAGGTCATAGCAGGCGCAATAAGTCCTATGTGTAAGGTTCAGGTTTAGAGACATTACTTATCTTAGCCTCGGACGCGCCAGTTTCGTGACCCTTCTCTCACGCTCTGTTGTAATTAGTGCGTTCTCGCAAACGCACCACCCCTCCCGCACATTCACTCTGCGCCTTCGGTTGAAGAGATTCAAGCAACTGTCTCCCCGACAAAGAATTCTTGTTGTGAAGAGGATGATCAAGTTCTTCTTACTCTTCTCGCCCACCCTTGATCACCGAGCAATGTGACTTTCAGCCAATGATGGCAGCCGTGCAAATCGATGACCAAGTAGACACCATCTCCACTGTGGAAAGTACTATTCGAACTGACCTGAAAGTCGCAGCAGTGAGCTCTCGCAGCCAGAAGGAATCCAAGTTCGGTCCACAAGAAATGCTCACATCTGATGCTATGTCTTTGTGCAACAGTTGGCCGAGAAAGCGTACTGCCCGATTTGCGCATGAGATACCTCTGGTAATGATGGGGACATAGTTCACTATGGGAACTATCACACGAAAAGAGCGCTATTCTTGTGTGTTTCCTTCTATTTTGGGTCCAGAGGATTGTCAGAAGCCAGCAACTGTGATGATGCCACTCAAGGATGGAACTCGATTTCTGCTCCAGGGCAGGCTGAAAGCCCCAGTTATCATCGACACTAGCCAAGTCGTTTATTGCGTCCAGCGCATGTCTAATCACACCTCTAATTACTCGACAGCTGTTTTTATTTTTCGGTGGATTGGACCGGGAATTACATGGCCTTGTTGTAATTATATCAGAAATAGTGTAACGTTAGGATTGGTGTCGCTTGAAAAGTTTCATGAGCCTCTAGCATCCTTCTCTAGTGGAAAGAATACAGCTTAAAAGGACACCGATTAGGGAGTTCTAGTGTTTTGGTGGAGGCGCATGCGATCTGATCTTCGAACGGAATTCTGTGATGACAGATCCTTACAACTAGGACGTACTAAGCACAAAATTTGAAAACGTATCAGATTCAGCAGGAGCACGCAGAGTGACCATTTGCACTGTAATTACTTGGGTGGCCAAAAATGCAATAGATCGACGATGAAATTGCCAGTAGGTGCGATAACCGTGCCCAATCAAACGAAGAACACGATCGGGGCGAGAGTCATTCGATAGCTGCAGTTCAAGATTCCAGAACGTATGAATGGTAATGAATATTGGACGGAAACTTTGTTTGGTTAGCGCTAACCACGACAGGGTTGAGGGACTCCTGCGATAGGCTAATGCTTCGATCTGAAACTGAGCAAAGAAAATCCGAGGACGGTGGGGGGCGGGCGTGTTGTCACTAGGAGCTCGTGTTCGGGCGAAATATGAATCTCAGAGGTCGGTGAGGGATGAATGACGCGATGTGACGAGACACAGGGTCATCTAGCTCGTTACTGTGAGGGGCTTTCTCCTCGCTCACAACACCAGCCTTGCATGCGGTGTAACAGGAACAACACAGTGGTGTTCTCCGGCCCGAGACGCATATGGTTGCGTTGACTATGGGCTTCCATGGTGTGTCCTGCTTGAGCCATGGCGGGTTTAACCGAAACACATGATCGGCATTCATGCCGACACTCCACGAGACTCTCGGGACCCTGACATCTACTAGCTTGGCCTAGCTGCCACTCGCTCGGCTGCAATGGCCTCTGTGTTATATTTACTGCTTGCTTCATTGCCCTTTCTTGATAATGCCAAGTTTGCTGTGTGCGGGTTCACGCAGCTGCGGCCTGCAAGCCACCTCGGAATTTCTGCGCTTGTCCGGTGAACTTCGGAATAGTAAAATCTGTGGAGAGAGAAAACATGGCAAGTCAACGTTGCAATTTCCAATCTGAGTGAATCTTACAATAGTGCTACTTAACTAGGTACTGCCCCTTCAAGTGATTCATTTCATACGCATCATGTGCGCGTGGCGACTGAGGTATTCCCCGTTCACTCCTCCACGCGGGCATCCCCTCATCACTTGCTACGCCAGCGCAATGTCTAGAAAAAATCCGTTCAAAATCCTCTCCCAACGTAGTAAAGGAAGTGATTCCGCTTCCGGCTCATCTTCACAACCGCCGCTCTCCTCGACCTCGTCCGAGTCATCCCATGTTCCCCAGATCAATATCACTGGTCCCCAGGTGCCCCGAGATCACGACAACACTCACAGCGATCGACACGGGTTGCCGACGGAGTCTTATCCTGAGCTCACAGTGGCCGGCCAGGCCATGCCTTCTATGAACAGAGATTCGAAGAAATCGGAATCTCTTATGGGACGTGTATTCGGGAGGGTCCGTAGGAAATTGAGTCCTAACCGCAGCAGGCCTAGTACCCCCAATCTCGTTGAACCATCCAGGCCAGCCACGCCACTCCAGCCGTCCGGTAATGATGCAGTACTTCCTTCATTTCCCTTCGCCCGTGGGGAAAAAATTGATAATCTTCGTGAAACATCTGGCTCGTATGCCACACATGACAACGGCCTGAGCGTTCATGCACAATTGGAACACAAAGGTATCAACGTACCCTCATCAGAACCCACGATCACACGATCGGCCAGCTCAGGCAGCGATCGAAAGGTTGTAATCATCGGCGCTACTAGACTCATTCTCCAAAATGCGGCCTCCGCCCTTAAGTTTGCCCCGATTCCGAATCTTGATGCAATCCCGGACTTGCTTTTGAAGTGGCTCGATGTCTACGAGGTGAGATCATCTTTCCGTTTCTGGGATCGATGAGGATATTTTGTTCACTCTCCCAATATTTGTGTGGCATGATTTGCACAGACCGTCGGTGGAAACGACGAAAGTCTTAAAGGATTGGACGATGACATCCTAAAGGCCTACGACACTGTTTTGGAGCCACTCGCGCTGTCGACCGACCCTATACCCGATGAAGTAGTTGTTTTAATTAGGCGGTTCCACTCGTACGTCCACTTGGCTCCTTTGCTACGCGTTTGATTCAATATTCCTGCTGACAGGGCCCTGGAAGAACAAAAACAAAGGATCGACGCACTCACCAATCAAGGTTCCGTGAAGAGGACGATCTTAGCACCCGAAATCAGCACGAGGATAAGTGATGTGAAGGCGTGCATAAATGATGCTGTTAACAACTTCTCGGTCCGTTCCCATAGGGCTCCCAAGTGCTCTATGTACTGACTAAGTATGTAACAACAGACCCAGACAGGTACTTTGACGCTGCTTCTTACAATCAAAGCATCGGTGCGATGTACGTTTCCAAACTCATTCTTGGGGTTTTTCATCAACTCTTCCTTTTAGCTGAACTTAAACGACTTGGGGAAGTCGCGGCCGAGCACAACTACGTGACAAGCAAGTCAGAATGCCTTCCAAGCACACGGGACAGCGTGCGGGAATCGATTCTCAATCACCTCAAAGATGCTAAGAATCAGTTTGTCTGGGTTCGCGGATCACCCGGGACCGGAAAGACGGCGATCAGTTTGAGTATCGCATCCACACTCAAGGCCGAAGGCACTCTTGCAGCCTCCTTCTTTTGGGACAAAAACCAAAAGGGAACAGGCTTAGATTCTTTGGGGCAGTTCCCTTCTACCCTTGCTCGCCAACTTGCGCTCTTTAGTGCGAACTTCAAGGTATCACTCGTCAAATGTCTTCGGCGGCCAGAAATGGGATTGTTCCTGAAGCTTCCCCTGGAGGAGCAGATGCGGGCTCTGATCATTGAGCCGATGAGTGGTCTCAAGGATGCGTTTTCCGGTGGTGACAAACGCTTTGCTATCATCCTAGATGGCTTGGATGAGTGCGGGGGTCCAGAGGAGCTTGACTCCCTAATGAAGCTCATGCTTCTACTTCGCGAGCTGCCTTCGCCTTTTGCCGTGCTCTTTAGCTGTCGGCCGGAGTCTACAGTCGTTTCGGCTTGGACTAAAGCGCAAGATCAGGGTCTTGTGATCCCCTGTGAAAATGTGAATCAAATTGAACTGGACACTTTCCACACCATCCGTTGCATGGTGGGCGAAGGATTTTCCGATTTTATCAAGGACTCGGGATGGAAACCATCTGATGAAGATCTTGATGTCTTTGCGAGAGGTTGCCGTGGATTGCCTATTATGGCTTCAACCCGAATACGTGAAGCGCAGTCCGAGATTCGGTACTACGGTTGTTCTCTTAAAACAGAGTTTGCATATTTCCGTAATCTTAATGAAGTGCCTATGGATCTGAAGTCGGAGTACTTACGAATCATGCGACGAGCCTACATGCGGAATTCCTCCAGTATTCGTGAACAGGTGGCCAAGAACTATCGCGAAGTAGTCGGGATACTTGTTGCTGCAAGCTGGAGTGATCTTGGCACTGACGACATATCACAACTCCTAGGAATTGCCGAGGATGAAGTACGCTCAACACTAAGACCTATCAGCTCGATCGTCGATCTTCCTTCAGACAACGAACGGACTGTCAAGTTCTACCATGCGACGGCAAAGGAGTTCATTACAGGAGATCCTATCGGTGAGAAACAAGACGAAGTATTTTTTATTCATGATGACAAGGGGTATAGCATTGGATTACGGCTTCTTCAATTTATAAATGATGTCATTCAGAAGAATAAGTTTGGCATCCCCACCGAACTCCCTTTGGGAGATAGAAAGAAGTGGGAGCTCTTTCAGAGCAAGCAGAAACCTAGAGTTGTCGAAAATGTGCTTGACCGCTTGTTCTCTCACTTGGACCCTTCGCTGCTCTTTGCACAAGAATCTAATGAATTGCAAAGAGAATTTGAACAACTTCTTACAAGAAACTTCCTCTCATCCTTGTCATGGAATGATGGCCGATCAGGAGAGCTACGTTCTCGGACCGAACGCTTATTCTCAGAATGGAGGTTGAATGCACATGTGGGTTCTAAATCAATTGTTTTTCGGTTATATGACATCATTCTTCGCGTTACAGAATCACAAATTAATGGTGCTGGCAGAGGAGGCATACAGTTTTATATGGAGGTTGAGCACCATCCCCGATCCTTGGGATCATTATCGATCAAGCCTTCCATTCACTCCGTCGTCATCACCCCTCTATGAATTCTATGGCCATCTCTCAGATCCCGTTCAAGTCTTCAGTGTATCCGGCAAGTTTTCCAATAGCTTGAGTGAGGATGAACGTATGGGTCAAGAGCTCTTGAGAGCAAAACTGCCGAAGATTTTTGATAAATATGACGTGACCTGTGCGGCAATATCCCAAGATGGTCGTCAAGTCGCCCTTGCCTTTGGAAGCGGGGTCATTGAGGTTGCCGACATTGACCATCAGCGTATAATTTCTAGATTCCAATGCAGTCCTCCCAAGCCTCTGGTTTGGATCGAGTTTATCCACAGTGGCAATGCCCAGATTGCCACTGAGGATGCTGACGGACACATCACTATTCTTGGTCCCGGAACAAGTTTGGTGAAGCTTGGCACTCTCCCCAGCGGTTATTTCCCTGCTGTAACTGCGGTGTCGAACGATGGATCTTTCATCATACGAGTCCCACAAATCCTTGGCCAGGCTTGGTACGAGAACATGGCCCTCATATGTTTTTCGGGCAAACCATCCGTTCAGCTCCTTGCATCCCCTCCCACTCCTTCCCCTTCTCAGTCCCCCCAATCCCACTCTGGTCCATCCATCACGAGGCCGCGGGGTAATAAGAGAGATTTATTATCATCATCATCATCTGGTCTATCCATCCCTCAACGTCACACAGTTCGATTCTCTCCAGGGGGCCGATATGTCGGTGCTTACGACACAAACCATGCGTTCATTTGGTCAACAGATTCACACCAGTGGATTGCTCAATATCGCGTGCAAAATTTCAAGACTTGGATTTTCAACACTGGTCTTGAACCCCCTTACCTGCATGACATTCCTATGCCTGTACTTCGTAACCCCCTCCTGCCTTTGATTCCAGAAGATGGTGCAACTCGTCCACCAAGTACCGAGCCAGATTTAGGGCATGATGCGGATGAATCTTGGTCGAAGCGCCCTTTTTACGACCTCTCACCCTGCATAGAAACCGGCAAATACTCTGTTGTGAAGGTCTATTCCTCCACAATGGGAAGGATACCATTATTACGTGCCCACGGCGGGTCCATTTGGTTCAATGGGGAAACGGAACTCCATGTCCCACCCCACTACGTCCCACCCCGCTACGTCCCACCCCGCTACGTTCCGACCGCACGATCCGGAAATTCTTCCGGTGAGGAGGGAGCCTGGTACGGCGATGTGATGCTCAATGGTGATGATGATGATGGTATGGATAGGGACCGCATATATTTTCCTCGGGCGAGCAAGGGTGGAACTCGATTCCTGCTCCAGGGCCGGCTGAAAGCCCCAGTGGTCGTCGATATTAGCCAAGTCGTTTAGTGCGTCTCCAATCATTTCTCTGGTTCCTCTACCAGTGTTTTCCCTTTTCAATGCATTGGATCGGGACTTATTGTAATTATATGTACGTTTAATATGCATATTACCCCCAAATAAAAGATATAGGAACGTATGCCAAGCAGCAGAAACGACACATGCGAGCACGACGGACAAAGCATTGGAGGTTTGTCCTATTCCCTTGAAGAACTTCGGAAACACTAACGATCATCATGAACTATGAACCGATGCCTCGCACTTGGATTCGGAGCGCGAATAGGATGACCTAAGGGATCATGCATGCGAAAATCTTCGGCTCGACATCGTTCACCCCACTGTCTAGTGAGAGGGCTGCAACGGGTTCCTGAAGTGTTTGCATTCCTTTCCCAATTGCTGGCAGTTGAAACTGTGGAATAGACTGGGTTGCATTTGGCTCCAACCAACACCGCTGGGTTGGTGCTCAAGCTTTATTCCGCTCCTAGTGCATCTCGCTCCTCCCGACTTCCCCACATCCATATCAGGAATCCTCGGATCACGACAAACCCTGCAATCAACACGGAGCGCTAACTGCTCAGACTGCATCTTCTCAGCTTTCCATATCATTCGAACGTTCTACGGCGGTGAGGTGATGGCTTACTTATAGGGCAAGCGTATTGATGGCTGAAGTAATGGAGGACAGAGATACGATGTTGCCACAATTGATCTTGGCGACATCCGCCAAGTTAGGAACTTGGTGATGGTTCCTCGCTCTGGGCGTGAGGTTTTCGAGCATAGCATCCGTCAATTTGACTAGCTCGTCGGCCGTAGATAGTGGGCCTGTAGAGGCGTGCTGTCTGGGGATTGACGGGGGGTTGCGGTGATAGGTGGCAGTGTTGACCTGGTTGTGGAGACGGAGACGTTGCGCGGGGAACATTTGGGGGCACGTCTCGGGAGGCAGGACGGTTGAATCTAGAGGCGGCATCCTCAGTCTCTCCAGTTTTTGGTATTCTTGCTACCGAGCTTGTGCAGTGGGGGTGGTCCTGGGTGGAATTGGTCCAAAATTGCAGCTTGAAGTCTTCCCATAGTTGTGGGAAGGGGAGGGGGAGTGGCCGTAGACGTGCTGATAAGACTAGGGAAAGCCTGCCTCTCGTGAGACGATCACGAACATACCAGATGTAACTCGTGGGAGAGGAGAGCTGTAATAAAGACGTTGAATCAAGGACTAGCGATGGCTGGATGGGTTGTGGGAACGCAGATCTAGCTGTCACTCTAGTGAGGGAAGGAAGCAACCTTTTGTACTTCGGTGCCGCGTACAATGCTCTAGTATTGTGCCCACAAATTGCGGCTTCGTGAGATACAGCTTAGCTGAGAGTTGGGTATTCAACCAGCGCCTGTCCAGGATACCCCGAATTAAGGCGTCTGCTTCCTGTAGGGTAGTCTGAGCCTGGGCCATAGCCGGGTACCGTAAAGCAATCGATGGAAGGTTTAGGTTGTGCTTTGCGAGCCAAGCATGTAGGAAAAACTCTGTCTTTTCCCCAGGAAAGTCAACATGCAGATTCTCTGATATTGCATCGGCGGGCCTTGCAGAAGCACCGCTCCGAACGCATTGGCTCAGCCGCAACAACCAACGTAAGTTCTTACTGTTATGACTTGGTAGGTCGTTCGTCCGTGGCTCCCATTCAGTTCCCTCGACCTAAACAATGAACAATAGCTCCGCAATGGCAGGACGGGGCTCGGTCAAAAGTGCACTGCGCTTGTTCTACACGCCTGCCATTTCAAGGACAGTGCGTGTTCGAGCTGCACGAGCTCGCCCTGCAAGCGTTAGCTACCACATATCTACGCCGTTAAGGCAATACGTGTCCAATGGAGTGAATGGCGCGAATGGCACCCAGGCAACGGGAGACGTATCACCAACAACCGATGGAGTAGGCCCTCCCCCATCTGAGACGAACGCCACAGGAGAAAGCGCGTCTCCCGCTTTTTCAGACTCGTTGCCTGCTCCTGATGGGAATGGAACGAACTGGTCAACCTCCTACCATGGACTTTCGGTGGAACCCTTCCCGCCAGAAGCTGCTGAAATTCTGATGGCTCCAATTGATCCTCTTGACATTGAAATGAAGCCAGGTGCGAGCCGTTTCTCAAGAAGTCACGACTTCAGCGAGCGAATGGGTCACGTCGTTCCGTAGACGGTCTCATTTACCTTCCCGAAATTAAATATCGCCGAATATTAAATAAAGCTTTCGGACCCGGAGGTTGGGGTCTAGCTCCTCGCGGTCCAACTCACGTCGGCCCAAAGGTGGTTAGTCGCGAATATGCTCTCGTGTGCTTAGGAAGGTTCGCATAAGCCTAAATAGTTCCCAATAACTCCTTACATTGGGATTATCTCAGACTAGTAGCGGTTGCGCGAGGCGAGCAAGAATATTTCGATAAAAATGGCATCCCCACCGCCACAGAGGCTTGCAAAAGCAACGCACTTATGCGCTGTTGTAAAGATTTAGGGGTGGCGAGCGAACTTTGGTGAATGGTCCACTCATGACCAAAACTTCGGACGCTCACCCTAATTGTGATCTAGGGATCCTCGCTTCATCCGAGATTTCAAAGCAAAACATTGTGTTGAAGTTTTTGTGGAGCATATTCCGACAAAGCGGAAGTGAGTCTGCCATTCCCCTACTTTCATCCAGACCACTAACTCATCTGGTAGGAGGAAACTGTGGAGAAGAAGGGATGCGAAATTCGACTACCCGTACAAGGAATAAATGTTGGGACGGTGCCTTTCCTCGACCTACAGTAACAAGTATAACGCGAATACAATTACGCCCAGATTGAAATAGGAAGAATTGGGTAGAGATATGTCTAAATCTTTAGCTCCATGTCCATTTCATCGTCATCATCCCCAACATCAAATATCGCTTCCCTCGGTGTTACATTATCATCATGAACGACCTTTGCCTTCCCCTTATTGAGCGGAACCCCCTGGCCGTTGACCTCTTGGGTGCTGACAGGGATATAGTCGTCTATCTCGCCTCCGATATTACGGCTGAGAGGTATCGATTCCTCTTCATCCCGCGCGAGAGCCACACCGGTCTTCGAACCGTTACGCCGTTTCATACGGAAGTAGAAGAAGAGTCCCAGTGCGAGAGCAATCAAAACTAGGACGAGTGCGGCAGAGCCTGCATTATAGTAGGCTAAATATTGCAAGATCGAGATCGAGTGAGTGACACGCCCTTGAATCTCATCCCTTCAACACGTACCTTGCCATAATGCCGGATCATCTTGCGATGGAAGCTTAACATGTTCGTCTCCGTCGCCTTTGTCCAGTGAAGGCTGGATGATTGGTTTAACAGTACCCCCTACCTCGCTCGGGATCGTCGCTGAGCCCTTGAGTAGTGATGTGAAGTCGACCCCCATGAACCTTAATATCATGTCATGTGCCACATGCGGGAGATCAAAGCCAACCATATGAGAGGCGCCATAAACCTGCCATCATTGACGTCAAGAGTTCGACACTTTCAGGTGAACCATAACAATACTTACCTTCACATACGTCAGGTTTCTATCGGAAGTCCATTCTCCTACTTCTGTGCCATTAAACTTCCATGACTGAGGCTTTGTCGTGTTCTGCAAGGCGAATTTCAATCGGAAGTTAAAAAAGGGTTTACTGATCCTCTCACTCACACTGAATCCCCTCGCCCCATTCCACGTCAAGGCTTCGATTAATCTCTCGGCACCGAGATAATTACAAATCAAATCCTGGTCGCCATGAAAAAGCAGAACAGGAATCTTCTCGAGAATCCCCGGCATAAGACGAATAGAGGGTGGTGACTTCTTCATATAGAGATTACTGCTGACGGTGCCACGACATTCTGTCCACCCCTCCGATGAGCCAGACGCGTGGAATGCGGTTTTGACATCATCACGATGCAAATAAGGTTTGATATAAGTAAGGTCTGGGGGCCAGTTCATGCCGCAGGCTGGGTACGTGTCAGACAGTCGAATGTCATATATGTTTAAACATGTCGTTACTCCGTTGACACTGGTCAATGCACGACAAATCATTGCCATGCTCAAGGCTAGAAATCCACTTGTAGTACTCACGTCTGGTCAAGATGCCGAATCGTCGCTCCCATTACTAACTCACATTCACCATAGTTAGGAGTCGCTTGCTCAGTGCTATTCATTCGTTTCTTACACTGGTCAAGGGCCTGAAGCGCATGTTCGTATTCCTGGAAGTTTCAACCCGTCATCAACAGATACAATGCGATCAAGGTGAAGAAATAATCACCTTCGTCCCTGTTTTGAGAAGCTTTTCCTTTATAGCAAAATCGACATACGCTGGATACTGTGAAAATGGATCAATCCACCCATTTCCAATAGCAGCTCCCCTAAGGCGGGTCGGAAGCCGAGCAGTTTTCAGTATGGCGTCCGCTAAAGAACCCAGGATGTCAGGGCCTAGCATGGTGGATCAAGCCGGGAACCACTGACCAATATATGGAATGTATTGGCCAGCAAAACTCTCGCCAGCGAGGTATGTCTTGGATAGATTAATTAGCATAACATAAATGTGATGGGCCCCTTCACGCTCACATCCATATCTTTATATTCCGGGAACACTTCATACCAATTTTTAAGGAATTCAACGACGTGATTGGCGGCCTGGGGAATGAAATATTACAGCATTGAAGACACCGACCGACAGTCGTTGCCTACTTCATCAAGCTCGTGCACGTATTTGTTAGTGCTGGCATAGGAAAACCCAGTGCCGGGCGGTTGATCCACTGAGAAGTTGAGGCGAGGTCACTGCCATGCAATTGAAGTCCAGGAAATGAACACATACAGTATAGAACATTAGCATATTCCTCCCACCCGCCTTCTTTCTGCCGTAGTGAATCCTTCTTATTCATTCTCCATGGGCCTATCTCCATCATAAGTCCATCAAATGATGAACAACCCGGACCTCCCTAGAAAGAAGATTCAATACATGCAAAACCATCATATCAGAGAACGTAACTTACATTGAGCCATATTATTAACCTCTCTCTGTCGGCAATTCGTCGAGCCTTTGTTAACACGAAGAATATGTGTGCAGAGACCTCATTCGTGGGTTCAGGTTTAGCATTGGGATCAGAATTGAGGTTTCCTGCCCAAACATGTAATGAACTATTTGGGTCTCTGGAAAGATTAGGGATATTTGGGACGTAAAAGCTTGCAGCAGAAGGAGGTTTAGATGGCTTCTGACGAGAATCGACAACTGTCGCGGAAACGCCAGTTAACAGTACCAGAAGCGTAAAGTGAATCCACATCGCGAAAAGGAGCGGAGTACCCAGTGAAGCTAAAATGACCGACTATTGGTCCCTAGCCAAATGACGAACAGTCTATGATGGCGAGCGTAGAGCAGTGTGCTGGCCACTTGGCCATCAATGCATGGGTCACCTGACAATGATGAACTGAATTAAAATTTTTGACGCTTGGAGAATGCAAGCAAAATCATCGTTCTCTTTGGGCGAACCGTTGGCCCTTTCAACATTCGCACTACCTAGTGCCTCAAAAGCTGGCTATTCTTCACACGTTTTGGGCTCCTACACAAATGTTCCACGAAATGAAGACGGCTGGCTGACATTGACCTGTCAAGGCGACGGCGTTCATATAGTGGATGTAAGGACCAAGAATCCTCTCATCGTATTTGGAGGTGATGAGGAATATTCTTAGTTGTCCACCAATCGGCGCTTTGCCTCCTTTACTCTTGGTCCCTCTACGACTTTTGCATGCCCTTCCATCACAACTGTGGTGGAGGATCAAGGAATGTTATCAAGGACAACTTATGCGGTCGTCGAAACTTCCCCAAACATAGATTCAGATGGGCGGGGTCGTACAATATGGATGTGGCAAGAAACCCATTCTGGAAAATCTCCCAACTTATCGGCTCCCAAACGAATCGACGCCACAGTGCGTTATCATTTATTCTTCCACTCGCATTTCCAGAAAATTGAGCCAATCTGACTTTAGGTAGAACATCGCATATGCTCAATGCATTATGTCCAATCTTCAAATTTATTCATACTCTTTTCGGATGAAAATGAGATTTTGACGGTTGACTCTGGATTCAAACGGTTATACGCCACCAAGCTAGAAATTGAAGACAGTTATGCGGTGTTGCAACGTTGGGTACTTCACGATGTCACATTCATAACATCGCCGGATGCTATGCAGAACTCCATAATTGCGCAGGCAATGCATAACCATGATGGTCAACCTCTATTGCTGCTCTACTCCTGTGGTCCAGACGGATCACTCACATTTTTAGAGAAGTTACCAATCGATACTAATGCCAAGGTATCTCCTTTAATCGCAATATTGTGTTTGGTGACCCCCCCCCTTATTGTCGTCCACGTAGGAACTTGCGTACTGCACACTCTCACAATCTGGGGATTTCTCAGTGTTATGTAAGATACCTAGCGCCAAGGCCTCCTATTCCGCCTCACTGATTCATTGCTATTAGCCCGACAAGGACAATGGTATCACTATAGACTGCGCCTAGCCCACGATTCATGGAGCTTGACTCAATCCTCGACGCCATTCAGGCTGAAGTCACTTACCCTCTTCGGTTCAACATCAGCTTCTTCCCCAACCACACTTCTGTCCCTCACCGCCTCTCATGTTTTTCTTGCATCAGTTTCGTCCACCTCAGAACTCGTTCTGCAAATATGGGATCTCAAGTATTCTCTGTTGATGAGCATTGCTACAGCGCTGATATCCGGTCTCAGCGGCGAGTGGCGGCTACGATTAATTGGTGCCTCTAAGTCCCAGGTTTTCCTCACCGTATCTCCTCCACTTGATGAAACGTCCAAATCTGCCGTGAAAGCTCGGCGTTCGACCGTCTTTTCCGTACCATACGCCGTTCCCCCCTTTTCGACAATCGCGAATGCTATCTGTCAATCCCAGAAAGTCGACCAAACTCCATGGGCTTACTCCAATAGCACCGTCACACCTACATCTCCAGAGGCATCAGCCCAAAAAGCCGTGGCCACGAACCTACGCCATGTCATGCCTACCGCTTACGGTCCGTCTTCCTGGGCCCTGATACAAGAACAGTCCGAGGCCCGCCATCGCGATTTCGTTGATAAATTCACTTTGGCGCTCAATGATGAAAATTACAGTGGGGCCGCAGCAGCTTTCACAAGCTGGGAGAAAGATGACGCGGGGACAGGGGACGAAGTAGAAGGGTCCCACAAAGAAAAAATGGTATCGATTATAGCGTGGCAAATAGATCATGCTAGGGTGGCTCATTAGTTTTCTCCTAGCCCTACCAATTTGCCGCCACCTTTATCAAAGCGATTCTGAGCCTGCCCAGAATTAACAAGAAACTTTGGACGGTCACACAGACCCTCCTTTCCTCCCGTTCAGTGTTCAACAACATGCTACCTTCAGAGGGTGGGATATTCCGTCGGCTGATGGAACTCGAAGAATGGGTATGTAATTTTCTTGCCATTCCGTATTGCCCTCATGACCACCGCTTCTGCAGACTTTTGTGCTACGCTCGCTCGAAGTCCTTCCCGACATACCAGAAGATGAACTCGCGCGTGGTCTGAAAACTGTTGTTGATCTAACCCTGAAGGTTCAATCCAAACGCATTACAGCGGTCGGACCAGACGAAGGGGAGGCTATGGAACCAAATTTAACCCTGCACACCTTACTACCGTCATATCTTGCGCGCATGATCGCTTATCCTTACGCTCCTACGCTACTTCGAACTGCCTTCCGGAAGCATGTGAATGATCCCAAGCACCTTGTCCACATTCTGCCGATGCTTTCGCAATGGGCACGCACTTACTTGAAACAGGATGACGTCGTTTTTCTGAAGCCGCAGCCCACCGCTTTGGTATTCTACCCCTCGTCATCCGAAGCTAATACCCCTCCGATGCCGTCATTCGAGACTGTCAGTATTTTTCTATGCCATTTTACTGTGGACATAATGTTCATCCTTTAACCGCCCATAGCTATTACTATTCCTCGAGAACTTTCTCGATTCTTCATTCGTCTCTTTGGTCCAGTACGAGGCTGCGCATTCATATCTCGTCGATATTGCGAACAGTATTCGGTTAACAACTAAGCTGTTTGTAGAGTTGGATACGTTGAAGGGTCCCTTGGAGCCCTTTAGCGAGACCGGAAGCTACCGTATAGACAACCTTCCACAGACTACTGCGAGATACACAGTCCAGCGCATCGTGTTGTAATTTGACTTGCTAGGTTCGTTTGCATTGCGCGCGGGGGGTATGCTTCGCGTGATTATTCAATTTCTCGGCGGCGGGACGCTGTCAACATGCTATTAATATAGTATACCACAGATGCCAATTATTAATTCCCAACATTGCATTTCGCGGCTAGCTGTGGGAGCCGTGAACCACTCGCCGGTCTGTGAGACACAGCGAGGTGTACGTACTAAAGACAACATCGATCGTGCCCCATCGAGATTGAATCGGCGAATCCTAGACTCAATAGACTGAACTGACATTCCGTTGTCAAGGTCGGAGGAATTGGACGGTGTCCTTAGCCATTCGAACAGCGGAGCCAAGAAGCGAATACATGTTGTTATGCAGCAGACACGAAAACCATCAGCCTAGCAACAAACAGGAGAGCAGGAACTGGCCGAGGATGGAGATATCCTTAACCCACGTCTCGATCGGGACGCGCGATGTCGTAGAGAAGCTAGTGCGAAGCTACCCGTTGCCAACTCCGGGAACTGGTCCGCGCCAGATTATACATTCCACGGTGTTCAGATGCCCGCGTACGTCACAAGTGTGAGAATTGCACCAGAAAATGCCAAGGGACTGGAACACCATCTTACCAAACCCACATGTGCATCCAAAACAATACGACGAACAAAGGGGGGCTTGGAATGTACTAATCACTTAGCGACGTGCACATGGACTAGCGAGAGCTTCTTGATGAAGAATTTTAGAAGGAAATGAAGTCCAGCTCTAAGCTTGATGCGAGATCGATCATATCAGACGTGACTCGCGAAGAATGTGAGGCTGTGGATCTAATGATCTAATCAAAATTACTTATGTAATACCTGTTCCGAGATTTAGGTTGTTCCTGCACTAGTGCACCGAGTCCCTTTGATTTGTATCTGGCTTCTTTGTTCCTCACGAATTGCGGCCGGAACTAACCGTGACGTGCCGGTTTTCACAAGAGCTCCTGGTTCAGGAACAAATCATATTTAGCCAAGCGTGTCAACGACTTTACCTTTGATTGATCGGGTTCTAGCTGCTGATAGTGGATACGTTAGAGTGATGCCTGAAACAACATATGGTGTGGGGGAGCCAACATTGTGAGCCATGAGCCGGCCACGTATTAACACTCAGAATGAGAATGAAATTCAGTCACTTCACTGCAATGCAGCTCAGGCGTAACTTACAAAGGGGCCAGAAAAAAGGAAGCCAAAAAATTCTTTTCTTTCCCCCCTTCTTCCTCTCCCACTGTTTCCCCTCTTTTTTCTTTATTCAATGTTAAAACATTAATATTCAAAGGTAAGACGAACCCTGATGAATGAAACATGGATACCACACGCGTCCCAACGCAGACACAGTGCGAGAAGACAACGATGGGAAGTGGCGACGACGGATGAATGGCGCATGTCTCAAATACCATATATTCAAACTATGCGGCTAGGCCTACGGAGACGAAGCTGAAAGCAAAGTACGGACGAGATCCAGAATCACAGTACGACCAACGACGGAACGTCATCCAACAACAAAATCTGACAGAATGAGAAGAGATTATCATGGGACTCCACAGCCCAACGACCAAAAGCGACAGCGAGTTGATGTCGCGAGCACTCTGCTGACCCGTCCGAGGGAAAAATTGAACACAACCGGAACAGTGGCATTCGTTCATATGGGAAAGAGAGGCAGGGAAACGCTGACATTCCACGCAACCATCGGCGTGGCCTCCAGAGCAGGTGTTTTCGCCGTCTTCTCAGCAAACCGAGAGGACAGGAACGACAGGAAACGGCCAAAAAGACAATTCGCCATGAGTGAAAGCACGAAAAATGTGGGGCATTGGGGACTGAGGCATCAACAGGAGAGTCACAGGAAGCCTCCGTAGTTCGCAAGCCAATGTCAGCAGCGAGCGGATCCGACAAATGGCCAATGGAGCAAAGAAACTTCACAGAGGCTCCAGAAGTGACAGGAGAAAAATGTCATGGAGCCAACGCCATGATTGGTCCTCGATGCGTTTGGAGCGCGCCTTCAGTGCAGTAACAGAATATGCACGCGATATTGATCGGACCGATGACAGGCTCAGCGATGAGAAATCTGGGATCCCAGAGCTTCCTAACAATCCAGAGGGACCGACGACACCAATGACAATGATGGGTTACACATTATTAGTGCGGACTTACTATATGATGGTGCGACCTTGTCGGTCGTGCCTCAAGCCGCGTACCAGAACCATCATTCCCTAAGTCCCGTGAGGACGTCGAAATCCCCAGCAAATCTGAAGCGATCGCCACGTTACTCCAGCCATCAGTTATAAGAGGCCGGACCAATGAGGAGAGAGCCAACGCAAGAAGATCTCGCCCCGCCTCCTGGCCATCACTCAATTCGACGTGCAGGCTATTTGGAACTGGAGTTGACAGACAAACCACGAAGCCCCTTACACGTCGGGGTGCGCAGCCCGGTCAAAAACCAAGATCAGGCAGTCCAGGGAGAATGCATTGGGGGCGTTAGGGGTGCGGATACAAGAGCGGAGACAGGCAGAGCAGCCAAAAAGACGCAAACGCGAGAAAGCAAGAGGCATATGGTCTTGCGGCACATGGAAGCGATTCACAGATTGGGCGGTGCAGCGCAAATGATGCATGGGTAGCTTCGAATGACACTCTACTGGCAGGAAGAATGGCGAGGAAACTATTAAGCATGACGGTTGGAAGATGGATTTCTTCCGGAAGACGGAGAAGCAAGCAGCCCGATGCCGCATGAGAAAGTGAGGAGGAATGGGCAGTGGCATGTGTAATGTTGGGAGGCAGTGTAGAGGCAAATAGCTTGTCATCGGAGACACCACAAAATTGACAAAGCCTCGCACAGAACCCTAGGAGCGAAAAGCTTGCGGAATGCGGGCACCACAGGTTCACGGCAGATCGCTCGTGTGTCAATTTTTCATGGTGAACGTCGATGGTTGAGGATGACGTAAGACTCACTGACCTCTCCAAAGAATGAATTGTCAGGTTCGTGTCAAGGTGTCGGCGATCCCTTGCGAGTGTGTCGCAGCCAGTGGAAATCACCGCGTAACTGTAAGTTGTGGTTATTCCCAACACAGTATTGACGCGATTAAGCGCCGCTATACCTATACCATTCTTTCAATTTGACTGATGGGAGTTCATTGTCGGCTTGACCTATACCCGCGCGCTGTCACAGACGAAGCTTTCCGTGACTTTCCCCCCTCACTCATTTCCGAGGTCCTATTTCTCATCCAGCGTTTGTGTCGTAATTGTATTTGATTCTATCCAGGCACGTGCCTGCACAGCATAGTCGAAGCGAACGAATAATCGGTCCCTACATCAAATAGACAAATAGGCGAATAAATTCATCAAAAATAATTCCAGCAGGGTTTGTCACCTGGCTTTCTGTAAGTTGAAGCGAGACCGCATCTTTTCTGGTGTCTCAATGCAGTTTAGCGCTAACCCACAACGCCTACAAGGAAAATTAGCTGTTTTAGTAAGATATTTGTCCCGGCGCTCAGACTCACCAATATCCGAGACATCCAATTCACGCCATGACACTCGGATTTTCCCATATGAATGTTATCATCAAACCGCCCCGGAAGTCCTCTCTCTGTTGCCACCGTACTGGGGAATCAACAACAAGCCACATGGCATAGATATATGAGTTACCGAAAAGTACAGAAGCTTTCGACAGCCTCTATCAGAACGGAGTGTAGACACTTGCCGACACCGCACAGTACTAGTTACCAAAGTTTGAAACTTGAGAAATGACACGGTCGAAAAACGACTCCAATTATTGCTGTCAAATTTTGCCAAAAATCAGGAACGTTCAGCCTTTTTTGAAGGCCGTTGGGAAGCTTGATTTCGGAGACAAAGCTACGCTGTAGGCTCAATATCTTCAAGATGATTCTGCCATCCACATTCCGGGGGCTCCTGCGTTCGCCTTGCCCCATATCTTAACACCTTTGGTGTTCAGCCAAGACGATTGTGTGTCCAATGCCTCACCAAACCATAGCATGTGTCATGGATCCATATTCCCCCGAGCCAGCAAAGCGGAGACCCCAGTTAGGACGTTCGTGGCTCAAGAACATTCATGACCTCCAAAAGGGGACAAAGGCGTTGGGTTCCCCATGAAAGGGATAATTATTAAACTCATTTTTCTCCATTCAGCCATTCCGAGTTGCCATGCGCTTCCACTATTCTCTGCAATTTCATAAATCGTGATGATAACCATGTGTCGCCTACATTCCCTGGTATGATCGACTCAATTTTCATTTGAGTACTCATTGATTACTCGCTATCGCATGCATCTGCACAGCAAAATACTAGCCGCGAAGTTGATGACGACTAAACACCGCTGGCTCACAGCCCTTGTGAGGGATGTTGAATACTATTCAATTCAAACCAAAACGGGAAATTTGGTTGGCTGACAGTTGTGCCCGAACTTTGTTGTTACTAGACTTCAAGACTTTAGCCAAACATAAGTCATCCAGTGTCGGGTCTCGCGGCGTCCTAAAACCCCAACCTCACTTTCCTGATCGGGCCCGTTGCGCGCGGAGTCGATCGAGCTTCGCGCAATCGGTGGTGGTCCGCAGTTCAACCAAGTGCGGCCCAACAACTCTTCTCCGAGTGCGAGGCGAATACTGGTTTAGGCAGGATCCTAGCCTCTACTAAAGTCGAATACTAGTTCCTGAGATCGGCGCATCATTGCCACGGTTCCCAAGTCCCGGCACAAGACCAAATGGTAGCACCTCCACCAGCTCTAACATCACAGTTCAGATTGGATTGGATTGGAACCTCAGGTGCACTTTGAAACCTAAGGTGGTTACTTGTTTTCTGTAATGGGGACACACCGCAGTCCTGAGTCACAGTTTGCCCTGGTGATTCCTTCCTCGTCCACTCCTTCCCGATCCGAAAACTTCCCCTTAGTATTGGATCCTTTATCCACGGTCCCGGGAGTCACAACAGTTCCCGCAGGGATGGGCGCTTATAACGGGCATCCATATCCTCCCGGTCCAAAGGAAGGACGGCTTGTTTTGAGGCACAATCATCTCGTTCTCAAGTCAATGATCCCCGCCGTTTATTTCGACCTCTCCGACTCACCTGGCGGCTTCTTGGACGCAAGCACACTTAACTATCCTTCTTCCCGCACGTACACAGTTTAAGGGTTTCGATGTGGTATTCAATGTGCACCTGTTCTAAGAAAACTCTAACATTATGTTGGAAGTATAACCATAATCAAATTAACCCCTTGTTTCATTTCTTTTGTATATTGTTGGTTTGTCGATAAATGCGGCCCGCGACGAATATTCCCTTCAAGCCCTCAAGCACCAATGCCTGCCTCGACCCCGAAGGTTCCTAGAAAACGTCAGGACTTGCTTGAATCAGGGCTTGCGTGCCTGGTGTGCCGCCAGAGGAAAACTGTGAGGCACAACGCCTTCATGATTACACACCCAAAATCTTACCACTCATATTAGAAATGCGACGGCGTAAGGCCGACGTGTGGACGATGTCTTAGACTTGGGAAGCCATGCCAGTATGCGGGAACTCCTAGGGCCAGGGTTAAAAAGCTCGAAGAAACGATACAGAGCTTGGAGAGCGAGATAGCCGCACTCAGAACTAACTCATCTCCTCCTATTCACGACGCGGGGCCCACTGAAACCTATTCCAGCTCACGGATCCCTCGATTGGCCATTTTACCACAGCTTGAGATAGTGCAGGAGCTGTATACGACCAAGGCATTCCATGTCCCCGAGACCATACCCATATTTCCCATATCAACTCTTTTCTCTGACACTTCCTTCGCATCTGCAGAAGAGCAGCCATCCTCTCATCCAGGAGAGGCTTACCCAAAAGTTATTACTCGTGTCACGGTGGAACGTGCTCTGGCGAACTGGGACGTCCGGACAGAAATACCACCCCAACTTAAAGATTATCTGTATGTGTACTCCCGTTCAGGTCGCACTTTCCCTCCGGGTCTGACTGTACTGAATATTAAGTCTTCGTATCTTCCTCGCCCATCGTTTCCAATTCCATTCTGGACCGCTTGTTGCAAGGCTGTTCGAAGGCACACGTTCTTCTACCGATGACAGGGCTCTTCACCCCTCCCTTATGAATTCAATGTACCTTCTTGCTTGCCACGTCGGTGGGGGCTCTATGTCTTCCTATGAATCCTTTTTTGTGGCTCGGACCCGCGCGGATCTGGACGCATCATTGGCTTTCGTTGATCGTCTTGTGGACTTCCTTCTTGCTTCGGCTCTACTTGGAGTCTACTTTACTCGCACTCGTCGATATCCCGAAGCCTACACGACCTTATCCGGTGCCATTCGATTCGCTATCGCTTGTGGACTGCAACCATTGACTGCTGCCCAGCATCAAGGCAGCGCAGGCTTGCTGCCTCTCCCCAGAAATGATCTCGAGATGATTGAACAAAGGCACATCTGGTCCGCATTGAATGTGGCGGATCGCATTCTCACAAGAGAATCAGGATTTCCCAGCTCATTGCCCGAGGATGTGGGTGGCCCAATTCTAAGGGATCGTTATAATCTGACGCCGGTTATTTTCACGCAGGCGCTTGCTGAAATTTATAGATCTGCATGTGGCATCAGCTTTCAGGATCCCACAGATGTCTTGGGTGTCTCCAACTCCGATTGGACCCATCGCCTGGCCTCGCCCAATGCATTTCTCAATCCTGGCATATTCGACGTCAGTAGAGAATTCGATCATGTCTGTCTCAGAGCCAGGATAGAGTTGCTTTATGAAAGCATACGACTCTTCCGTGCGCGCAATAGGGGTATGTTTACACTGAAACGTCTTGTACACTCTGACTCATTATTGGCTAGGAGACGCTGAAATTAACTTCGTGGGGTGCTCGAGCGTTCCATTCTGGCAAACATTCAACTTTCTCGAAACATCTCTCTTCGAATGTCAAAAATTAATGTCATCGTTGGATAGTACATTTGAGCTAGGAGATGGCGACTGCGGTGAACCCTGGTTTGACTGCCCAATTCCTCAAACTCAAAATCTCGACGGAGCGACAATTTTTACCCACAGACCTATACCAGCTCTTTTTTCGGCAAAGGTGATGATGTTTGCGGCGGTGATCAGCTTGCAAAATTCTCTGCTCGAATCCCCTTATGTCGCGGACATATCTGGAGAGGGAATTGTCACCGAGGCACGCCGAAATGCTGTGCAGGCGGCGAAAGGGATGGCCGCTTTGCTCAAGTCGGTAATGTCTCCGTCTGCGACCATGGCGCTCCGGAGACAAGCGGGGGCCGTCTACTCCCCTATGTCCACGGTCTACAGGGATCTCTCGCTCTTGGTGGGTGTCCCCAAAAGACCTTGGCATTTCATTATCTTTACGCTGAGCTTTCCAGCCCCATGTCTTGGACGCCTCTGTCGTGATGGCTCACGAGATCCAAAGGTCCCCCATTTCACACACCAACGGAGTCGAGCTCGACAGGCAAATAGGGGACGTTGACATCTTCCGGACTCTGGTGACTGCATTGCGGGACTTAGGGGCATCCGATCCATCAATGTCAATGGGTGAGTCGTGCAACGTCGTCTTTCTGCAGATGTTCATGAACCACCAACAGACAAGGAAGTGCAAACACTCATTGGGATTCTCGCTGATGGCATTCGTGCATTATCGGATTTGTCGTCACCTGTCAGCAAGGAGCAGGCTGAGCCACATGTACAATCCCGCGTAGTATACCCATCGCCTCTATAATCTTTATATCCTATAGTATTTCCGGTTGTTCAGGCAGTGGAGCTGAGAATTGAAGAAGATCGCGGCTGAGCAGGTGCGAAAGTCTTTGGCCGGAAATTACAGAAGAACAGGAGTTGGGACCGGCCATAGCGGAGGTTCTGAGCAAACGTGTTGTAGAACAGGGCCTGAGGCCCAGCTCCGGAACTCTGTTAAAGGGAGGCTGGTCACCTGCCTAGGGAATGGCACACGGGCTTTTTGAACAAACACGTTGGTCAGAGGCGATGCAAACTTCTTCTAGACTGTGAGCCCTCAGTCGTGCATAGTTCTCCGTAATTGTGCGAGGTGTGGTTCCCCTGAACGAGTCTGCGAAATGTGTTGCAGTACACACAAACAATCATAAACAGAACGTTACAACCCCTCCCAGACAACAACTAGGCAGATGACCAGCCTTGGTATGACAACAACATCATGGATATGGATGATAGATGATTCCCTCTTGTATGCACGGTGACGTATAGAGTAGTTACAGTGGTCGTCGATCGATGCATATGACACCGACGTCACTCACGAAGAATTTGAATTTGGGGCTCCGATCCAAATATTCGCGCCGTTTTTTTTCTGACGCCGCATGTCCTCGTACAACTTCACCCAAGAGGCGAAACTTATTTTGCCACTGGTAATTTGTTGATCAGGGTGGATACATACGCCAGGTTGAAGCCTGGAATAGCATACTTATTGTGTGTAGGAGCAAACATGAGCCATGAGCCGACCATATATTAAATACTTGCGTAATGGGAAATGGATAAAATACAAACTGAGGTTAGAAGATGCCCCTTGGGCATTATCCTTACTCGGAATGATAGGGCAAAGCGGCCAACAGAATAATGAATGAAAACATTAAGGGGGCGGGACGAGGAGTCACGGCTTCCGGTCACTGGGACGCCAAAGGGACAGGGCGGAAATGGGTTTCGATCTTTTCACAGAGCTAATGTAGTGGTAAGTCCTCAATGCGTTTGAAGGGCGTCTTCGGTGCAGTGACGTAACAGCACAGAATACGTGCACTACCATAGTGATTGGGATCAATGATAGACTCAACGATGAGAACGCGCGAGTCCCAGAACTTCCTAACGATCTAGAGGGAGTGATAACTCCAATGAAACGAAAAGCAACATGAGTCTTGTACAAAGTCGCACACAGGCAGGCAAAAAACTCAAACATGGCCCTACCCTACGATAGTGCGGCCTTGTGAGTGGTACCTGGAACCTAGTCAAGCCTGTACCAGCTGTTCAGAACCTTCCTTTTCATGAAATGTCATGGATCTGAAGCGATCACCACGTTAGCCCCTCCTCTACTTAGAAGAAGGCGGATCGACGAGAGGAGAAAGGACCTCACCCTGCCTCCTGGCCACCGACGTACGGGCCATTTGGGCGCCAGAGTTAACAGACAAATCACGAAGCCTTTTCCACGTCGGGATGTACAATCCAGCCAAAAGACCTCAGTGATTGGAGAGATCAGACAGTCCAGAGAGAATGCATTAGGTTGTCGGCACAAGAGCGGAGACAGGCAGAACAGCCAACAAAATGCAAATGCGAGAAAGTAAGACATGGAGGCGATTCACAGATTGAGCGGTTGCGCCACAGACGATGCATGGGTGGCTTTGAATGACGTTCCAACGGCAAAAGATGAACCCAGCGAGGCAATTGTTGTTGGGAGGTGGATACATTCTGGGGGACGGGGAAGCAGCAGCCCGACGCCCAGGAATGGGCAGTGGCTTGTGCAACTCTGGGAGCAGTGCAGAAACAAATGGGAGACACTAAAAAACGCGATGAAGCCCTACACGGAACTTGGGAACGAAAGCTTGGGGAATATAGATGTCCAGCTTACAGCAAATCGCTAAGTCGTGCATAAATTTTCCATAATGAGCATCCTAGATGGTTGACGATGACGCAAGCCTCGCGGACCTCTTCAAAGAATGAACCGTTAGGTTCATATCAAAATGTCGGCGATCCCTTGCGCGTGTCTCGGTTGCAACTGGTGGAAATACGTAATTCTGGTCGCGATTATTTCCAACACGGCACTGACGCGATCAAGACGCGATTAAGTACCGCCGGTACCATTGTCTCTATTTGACTGATGGATATTCGTTGTCGGCTTCGATACCCGCACACTGTCACGAAAGGTGAAGCTTTGAGTGCCTGTTTTTTCCTTCACTTCTTCATTTCCGAGGGCTGAGCAACTTGTCGTTGTATTTCATCCATACGGCACGTGCTAGCACAGCATGACTTAAACGGATTTGACGGTCATTATATTCCCGAAGGGAAAGAAATGGTTTGCTACCATGGCTTTGCGTAAGATACAGTAAGACCGCACCTTTGCGGTGTTTCAATGCAATTTAGCGCTAATCTGCCATACAAAATCAGGTGTAATATTTGGATATGGCATGATTCTGTGCGAATTGACCTTCCAACCGCCCCGGCATTTTCTCTGTTGTCACCGTACTACCCTATCGACAACCTCCACCAATACGGAGTACAGACACTCGCCGACACCGCACCGCACTAATGCTTTGAAAAATGCCACGGGGGAAAACGACCCCAATTGTTGCTGTCAAAATCCGACTCTTTCGGCATCCCCAAGGCTACCGGGAAGCTTGGTTTTGGAGACAAAGTTATGTCGTAGGCTCTAAGCTTGGCATACTCCGACTTCCACACTCGCCTTAACCCATATCTTCGGCGCGGACGATAGCAGAACAGAGAAGGGGGAACAAAGGGAACGATTTCGTTGTGGAGATCTCAGCATAGGGTGTTCGTGGCTCAAGGACATTCATGATTACGAAACGGGACAAAAACGTTGGGTTCGCCGTGAAACGATAATTATTGGACTCATTTTTTCTCCTTCCAAGTTGTCTTACGCCTCAGTAATTTCATGGATCATGGTGTTTCTCCTATGAGTACTCATTGATTACTCTAACATTATCGCATGCACCTGCACAGCAAAATACTAGCCACGTAGTTGATGACACCAACACCGCCGGCTCACAGCCTTTGAGAGTCTATTTGATTCAAACCAAAAAAGGAAAATTGGTTTGCTGACAGTTGTGGCCGAACTCAACTTCAAGACTTTGGCCAGACAGGTGTCGGGCTTCTTCGCGGTGTCCTACATCTCCAACCTAGTTTTCCTAATCGGGCCCGACCCACGCGGAGTCGATCGAACTTCGCGCGATCGGTGGAAGTCCGCAGTTCAACCAAGGTGCGGCCCAAACAGCTCTTCCGAGTGTTAGGCGAATCAAATACTGGTTCCTGGGATCGGCGCGCATCTCGGCCTTCAAATTCCGGCACAGACTAAATGGTAGCATCTCTAAGAGGAACTGTGATTGGTAGACAAGTTCTAACTCCACAGATTGGAGGCACTCTAAAACGCAAGGCTCTACTTGTTTTCTGTAATGGGGACGTGCTGCCTCAAGTCACAGTTTACCGATGGTGATGCCGTCTTTGTCCACTCCTTCTTGACCCGAAAACTTCCCCTCAGCATTGGATTCTCTAGCCGTAGTAGCGGGAGTCATAATAGGTCCTGCAGGGATAGTGGGCATCAATCTCCTCTCGGTCTAATAGAAGGGCGGTCATTTTGGAGACACAATCATCTCGTTCCCAAAGTTGATGATCCCGCCCTTTTATTTTGACCCCTCCGACTCATCTGGCCGCTCCTTGCTCGCGAGCACACCTAACTGCCCTTCCCGCACGTACAGGGTTTAAGGATATTTCATTCTAAGTTGGCATTAAGCCTCCAACATCCGAGCCATGTTTACGGTATGGATATAATCACAATGACTGCTCTTCCATTTCCCATGGTAATGTTTGTATATTGTTCGTTTGTCGATAAATATAGCCCGCGACGAATATCTCCTCCAAGCCCTCAAGCACCAATGACTGCCTCGCCCCCGAAGATCCCTAGAACACGTCAGGACTTGCTCGAATCAGGGCTCGCATGCTTAGTGTGTCGCCAGAAGAAAACTGTGAGGCACGAGGTCTTCTTGATTGCACACCCAACTCTGACCACACACTTTATAACACTAGAAATGCGATGGCGTAAGCCGACGTGTGGACGATGCCTTAGACTTGGGAGGCCATGCGAGTATGCGGGAACTCCGAAGTCCAGGGTTAAAAGGCTAGAAGAAAAGATACAAAACTTGGAGAGTGAGATAGCTGCACTCAGATCTAACCCAACCCCACCTATTCACGATACGGGGGGCACTGAAATCTACGCAAACTCACGGATCCCCGGCTGGCCATTTTGTCTCAGCTTGAGATGGTTCGGAGCTCTATAACGCCAAGGCATTCCACGTCCCCGACATCATACCCATATTCCCTATATCAACTCTTTTCCCAATATTGCCTTCGCATCCGCAGAAGAGCTGCCATTTTCTCACCCAGGAGAGGCTTACCCAACAGTTATTGCTCGCGTCGCGGTAGAACGCGCTCTAGCAAATTGGGACATTCGGACAGAAATGCCACACCAACTCAAAGATTATCTGTATGTATGCTCATTTAGGTCGCACTTCCTTTCCGGTCTGACTGCACTAAATATCAAGTCTTCGCATCTTCCTGGCCCATCGTTTCAATTCCATTCTGGGCCGCTTGTTACAAAGCTGCTCGAAGGCACACGCTCTCCTACCGATGACAGGGTCCTTCACCCCTCTCTTACGAATTCAATGTACCTTCTTGCTTGCCATGTTAGTGGAGGCTCTATGTCTTCATATGAGCCATTTTTTGTAGCTCGGACGCGCGCAGATCTGGAGACTTCATTAGCTTTCGTTGATCGTCTTGTGGACTTTCTTGTCGCATCGACTCTGCTTGGAGTCTACTTTACTCGCACTCGTCGGTATCCCGAAGCCTACACGACCTTATCCGGTGCCATTCGATTCGCTATCGCTTGTGGGTTGCAACCATTGACTGCTGCTCAGCATCAAGGTGGCAGCGCAGGGTTGCTGCCTCCTCCCAGAGACGATCTCGAGATAATCGAACGGAGGCACGCCTGGTTCGCATTGAACGCGGCAGATCGCATTCTCACAAGAGAATCAGGATTGCCCAGCTCGTTGCCTGAAGATGTGAGTGGCCCAATCTCAAAGGGATCGTTGCAATCTGATGCTAGCCATTTGCACGTAGGCGCTTGCTGAAATCTATAGATCCGCATGCGACATCAGTTTTCCCATTAATGGCCTGGAAGCCTCTGCTTCCGAATGGATCCATCACCAGGCTGCGACCAATGCGTTTCTCAACCCTGGCATATTTGACGTCAGCAGAGAAATGGATCATGTCTGTCTCAGAGCCAAGATGGAATTGCTTTTTGAAGGCATACGACTCTTCCGTGCACACAATAGGGGTATGTCTACACTGAAACGACTCGCTCACTCTGACTCACCACCGGCTTTTAGGAGACGCTGAAACCAACTCGATGGGATACTCTAACGTTCCATTCTGGCAAACATTCAACTTTCTCGATGCATCTCTCTTTGAATGTCAAAAAACTATGTCATCATTGATTAATACCTTTGACCTCGGAAATGGCGAGCACAGCGCACTTGGATTTGGTCACCCAATTCCTCAAACCCGGAATCCCGACGAAGAGATGATTTTTACCTGCAAACCTAACCCAGCCCTTTTTTCGGCAAAGGTGATGATGTATGCGGCGGTGATCAGCTTGCAAAATGCTTTGCTCGAATCCCTTATGTCGCAGACATCTCCGGAGAGGCAATAGCCGAGGCACGCCGAAAGGCGGTGCAGGCGGCAAACGGAATGGCTGCCTTGCTCAAGCCTATAATATCTCCATCCGCGAATGTGGCAGTCCGGAGACAAGCGGAGGTCGTCTACTTTCCTATGTCTACGGTCTACAGGGACCTCTCGCTCCTGGTGGGTATTATACAAAGATATCAAGATTACATTATCTTTACGCCGAACTTTCTAGACCCATATCTTGGACGCCTCTGTCATGATGGCGCGTGAGGTCCAAAGACCCGCCCCTTCACACACCAACGAAGTCGAGTTTGACAGGTTAATGGGAAACCTTGACATCTTCCAGACTCTGGTGACTGCATTGCGGGATTTAGGAGCATCCGATCCATCAATGTCAATGGGTCAGTCGTGTAACGTCGTCTTCCTGCGGATGCTCATGAACTACCGACAGACAACGAAGTGAAAAGGCTCATTGGGAATCTCGCTGATAGCATTCGCACATTATCGGATTTGTAGCCACCTGTCAGCAAGGAGCAAGTTGAGCTATGCATACGTACAATCTCGTGTAGTATACCCATCGCCTCTATAATCTGTAGAAGCAGTATACCCTACAGCCTCGATTAGGCGGTAATTCCAGCTATTCAGGTAGTGGAGCTGAAAAAAGCAGATCCTTGGCTGAGCTGATGCCAGCCAGGGACAAATTGTGTCAAGAACTTTTCCTAAAGGGCGAAACTTATTTTACCACTAGCAATTTGTTGATCAGGTTCTGCTGATGGTGGATACATCGCCAGGCTAAAGCCACATTGTGTGTGGGAACGGACATTATGAGCTATGAGCCGGCCATATATTAAATACTCACTTGACAAATACAAACTGAGGTTGGTGAAGAAAATTTTAAATATAAGGCTATGGCACGTAAGTTTCTCAGACTCATGTGAGATCTAAAATTGTATGTACCTATGGCACGTAAGTTTCTGCGCCAAACTTCGCCACCGACAATCAATCCCTCCTCGCCACTCCGTCGTCAGAACCGATTGTTGATATTACAACAGAAATCCCGGGCATTATCCTTACTCGGAATGGTCCACCATAACAGGGTGAAGCAGCCAACAGACAAACCGTCACATGAGTGAAAGCATTAAAATTGGAGGGCGTTAGGGGCAGGGGTGTGGACAAGAGGGTCACATCCTCCGGTCCCTGGGATGCCAGAAGGGAAATGAGCTTCACAGAGCCAATGTTAATGGCGGGCAGTGACGTAACAGCACAGAATATGCAGGATAAGTGTGCCACCATAGTGATTGGAATCGATGACAGACTCAAGGATAAGAAAGCGCGGGTCCCAGAACTCCCTAACAATCCAGAGGGAGTGGTGACCCCAACGGGACGAAAGGCATACGTGAGTCTCGCACAGAAGTCGCACACAGACAGGCAAAAAAATTCAGACACGACCCTAGATAGGACAAATGGTTGGAACGTTACAAGCTATCAACGCAGACTTACCTTACGATAGTGCGACCTTGTGAATGGTGCCTGCAACCAAGTCAAGCTTTGTATCAGCAGTTCAGAATCTTCTCTAAGTCTCACGAGAACGCCAGAATCCCTGGTGGGTCTAAAGCGATCACCACGTTAGCCCCTCCGTGAATTATAAGAAGGCGGATCGATGAGAGGAGAACCAATGCATGAAGATCTCGCCCTGCCTCCTGGTTTCGAGGGCGTTAGGTGGGCACGGGCGAAGACAAGCAGCCAAAAAGACACAAACGCAAGAAGGTAGTCTTGCAGCATATGGAGGCGATTCGCACATTGAGCGGTACGCCACAAATGATGCACGGGTAGCTTTGAATGACGTCCCAGCAGCAGAAACGAGGCAGGGAGGTGGATATTCCGGGACGGGAGCGGCCCGACGCCGAAGGGGAGGAATGGGCAGCAGCTTGTGCAACGCTGGAAAATAGAAGCGAATGGGAAACACCAATAAAGCCCTACACGGAACTCGGGAACGAAAGCTTGGGGGAATATAGATGTCGCAGCCTCACAGCAGATCGCTAAGTCATGCATAAATTTCATGATCATGATGAGCATGCAGATGGCGCAAGCCTCACGGACCTCTCCAAAGAATGAACTGCCAGGTTCATATCAAGGTGTCGGCGATCCCTTGCGTGTACCCCTGGTTGCAGCTGGTGGAAATCACCACGTAATTCTGGTCGCGATTATTTCCAACACGGTATTGACGTGATCAAGACGCCGGTATCATTCCCCATTTGACTATCCGCCGTCGATACCGAAGCTTGACTCCTATTTCTCACTGTGCTCATCCATATGGCACGTGCTCGCACAGCATTAATATTAGTCGGAAAATCCCGTATATCGTTTAAACACCTGGGAAACGTTTCATGGCGTTTTCTGCAACAACTATCCAATTATTAAAAACGTATTCAGAGCGTTTCAGGGGTATAAAAACGCATTCAATTATACCAAAAAACCCCATAAACAATTTATCACATCGTTTGAACGCTAAACCTCACGTTTAAAAGCCAAATTTTGGCGTTTTAAACATCAAGTTGATCGATTCCGCGATTTTCCGACATGTCAATTTGAAGATGACATAAACGGATTAGACTAGATAATAGGTCATTATATTAATCCCAAAGGGAAAGAAATGGTTTGCTACCTTGGCTTTCCGTAGGATGCAGTGAGACCGCGTGTTTCAATGCAATTTAACGCTAATCCGCAACGTCAGCCACACGCTATAGGGCAAGATCAGGTGCGATATTTGGATATGGCATTCGGATTTTCTATGAATTGACCATCAAATCGCCCTGGCATTTCTCTTTGTTGTCGCCGTACTAGCCTATCGACAACCTCTACCAGAACGGAGTACAGACACTCGCCGACACCGCACCTCGCTAGTGAAGAGAAGTGCGCTTTGAATCTTGAGATGGCACGAAGGATGGCTTTTCTTGGAGGCACAATCATCCCGTTCCCAAAGTTGATGATCCCCGCCCTTTATTTTGACCCCTCCGACTCATCTGGCCGCTCCTTGCTCGCGAGCACACCTAACTGTCCTTCTTCCAAATTCCCGCACGTACACAGTTCAAGGGTTTTGCCTGAGGTTTCATGCTCAACAACGGTTCTAAGTTGATATTGAGCCTCCAAATGTTTACGGCATGGATGTGACTGCTCATTCCATTTCCCATGGTAATGTTTGTATATTGTTGGCTCGTCGATAAATGCGACCCACGAATATCCCCTTCAACCCCTCAAGCACCAATGGCTGCCTCGCCCCCGAAGATCCCTGGAACACGTCAGGACTTGCTTGAGCCAGGACTTGCATGCCTAGTGTGCCGCCAGAAGAAAACTGTGAGGCACGAGGTCTTCTTGATTGCACACCCAACTCTGACCACACACTAGAAATGCGATGGCGTAAGGCCGACGTGTGGACGATGCCTTAGACTTGGGAGGCCATGCGAGTATGCGGGAACCCCGAGGTCCAGAGTTAAAAAGCTAGAAGAAAAGATACAGAACTTGGAGAGTGAGATAGCTGCACTCAGATCTAACCCAGCCCCACCTATTCAGGATGAGAAGGGCACTGAAGCCTACGCAAGCTCACGGATCCCTCGGCTGGCCATTTTGCCTCGGCTGGAGATGGTGCAGGAGCTCTATAACGCCGAGGCATTCCACGTCCCCGAGACCATACCCATTTTCCCTATATCAACTCTTTTCTCCAATATTGCCTTCGCATCCGCAGAAGAGCAACCATTTCCTCACCCAGGAGAGGCTTACCCAAAAGTTATTGCTCGAGTCGCGGTAGAACGCGCTCTAGCAAACTGGGACATTCGGACAGAAATGCCACACCAACTCAAAGACTATCTGTATGTATGCCTCGTTTACGTCGCACTTTCCTTCTGGGTCTGACTGCACTAAATATCAAGTCTTCGCATCTTCCTGGCCCATCGTTTTCAATTCCATTCTGGGCCGCTTGTTGCAAGGCTGCTCGAAGGCACACGTTCTTCTACCCATGACAGGGCCCTTCACCCCTCCCTTACGAATTCAATGTACCTTCTTGCTTGCCATGTTAGTGGGAGCTCTATGTCTTCCTATGAATCTTTTTTTGTAGCTCGGACGCGCGCGGATCTGGAGACTCCACCGGCTTTCGTTGATCGTCTTGTGGACTTCCTTGTCGCTTCGACTCTGCTTGGAATCTACTTTACTCGCACTCGTAGGTATCCCGAAGCCTACACGACCTTATCTGGCGCCATTCGATTGGCTATCGCTTGCGGGTTGCAACCATTGACTGCTGCTCAGCATCAAGGTAGCGCAGGCTCGCTGCCTCCTCCCAGAGACTATCTCGAGATGATTGAACGGAGGCACGCCTGGTTCGCATTGAACGCGGCAGATCGCATTCTCGCCAGAGAATCAGGACTACCCAGCTCATTGCCAGAGGACGTGAGTGGCCGAATTCCAAAAGGGGTCGTTGTAATCTGATGCTAGCCATTTGCACATAGGGGCTTGCCGAAATCTACAGATCCACTTTTCAAGATTTCCCCATCAATGGCCCCTTGGAAGCCTCTACTTCCGAATGGGTCCATCACCAAGCTGCACCCAACGCATTTCTCAATCCTGGCATATTCGATGTCAGCAGAGAAATCGACCATGTCTGTCTCAGAGCCAAGATGGAATTGCTTTTTGAAGGCATACGACTCTTCCGTGCGCACAATATGGGTATGTCTCCACTGAAGCCACCCGCTCACCCTGACTCACCACCGCCTTCTAGGAAACGCTGAACCCAAATCGGTGGGATGCTCTAAGGTTCCATTCTGGCAAACATTCAACTTTCTCGAGGCATCTCTCTTTGAATGTCAAAAAACCATGTCATCATTGATTAATACCCTTGACCTCGGGACTGGCGAGTACAGTGCACTTGGATTTGGTCTCTCAATTCCTCGAACTCGGAATCCCGACGGAGAGATAATTGTTACCAGCAGACCCAACCCAGCGCTTTTTTCGGCGAAAGTGGTGATGTACGCGGCAGTGATTAGCTTGCAAAATGCTTTGCTCGAGTCTCCTTATGTCGCAGACATATCCGGAGAGGCAATAACTGAGGCACGCCGAAAGGCGGTACAGGCGGCGGACGGGATGGCCGCCTTGCTCAAGTCTGTAATATCTCCGTCCGCGAACATGGCAATCCGGGGACAAACGGAGGCCGTCTACTTTCCTATGTCTACGGTCTACAGGGACCTCTCGCTCTTGGTGGGTATTCTACAAAGATCTCAACACCCATTATCTTTACGCCAAGCCTTCCAGCCCCATGTCTTGGACGCCTCTGTCGTGATGGCGCATGAGATCCAAAGACCCGCCCCCCACATGCCAATGAAGTCGAGTTTGGCAGGTTAATGGGGAACCTTGACATCTTCCAGACTCTGGTAACCGCATTGCGGGATTTAGGAGCATCCGATCCATCAATGTCAATGGGTGAGTCGTGTAACGTCATCCTCCTGTAGATGCTCATCAACTACCAACAGACAATGAAGTGAAAACACTCATTGGGATTCTCGCTGACAACATTCGCGCATTATCGGATTTGTAGCCACCTGTCAGCCATATGTACAATCTCGTGTATATAGTGTACTCATCGCCTCTATAATCTGTAGAAGCAGTATGCCCTACAGCCTGATTAGGCGGTGATTCCAGTTATTCAGGTAGTGAAGCTGGGCAAAGATCGGGACCGAGTAGGTGCGAAAATCTTGGGCCAGAAGTTATGGAAAAACAGGAGTTGGGGCTGGCCATGGCGGAGGTCCCGAGAAAATGTATTATAGAGTAGAGCCTGATCGGGACAAGACCAAACACGTTGGTTACTGTAAAGGGGATGTGAATTTCTTCTAGACTGTGAGCCCCCAGTACAATGGCCCCAGTCGTGCACAGTTCTCCCATCCGTGTGTTGCACTTTGTCGTGTTACTACCTTGTGGCCTTAGGTACCGCTGTATCGTCGCGCTGTCATATGGTTGCGTGTTTTTCGTTTACTAGCACTCTGTATATTTACGTGTCGTTCGATGTCGTTGTCGACTCAATTGCCTTGAGGCCATTTCCACTACCTCTCTTCGCCGACCAATTATGTAGCGAGAGTACAGAAAGCGACAAGGAAGCGAAACGGTAGAGACACAAAAATGGAGGAAAGCTATACAAAGTGATTGGGAAAGATAAGAACAAAGAGTTGGAGAAAGGGGCAGAGGTGGGTGAGCTTGAAACGAGCAAAGGCGCAACGCTGAGGTGTACTAAGGCGGTGAAGGACTCCCAAAGGGAGCGAACCCTAAGTGTGGAGGAGTCACGCTAAAACACAAGCGCGGCGTCTATCTAATATTACGAAGTCGTAGAGGCTCCTGCCTAAGCTCATATAGAAGATACCGTTATTCAATTCAGCTTCGGGGGCAACCGGCGATCGTATCGGAAACAACAGTCAATAACAAGTACAGGTCCACGAATGGAGAAACGGAGTTCACTACAGGCGCGTCCATCGGCGTATTTGAACATCGGAAATGTTTCCGTCGCTCAGGACGTCACGGCCGCGGAGTCGTGTGTCCTCGCGGCGGGAGCATGCCACGAGATTGTGGGTTGTTTCCGTACGGCCCCGACAAGCTAATCAGTTAAGTTGCTCAGCTTTTAGACGGTTTGGAATCTTTTGAAGCAGAGACTCAAGAGCTTTTGCGACTATCGAGGGTCTTGCAAAACAATAGGGTTAGGATACTGATTTGCGTTGAATGGTCGGAATTCAGAGTCGACCTACAGGTGTTTACACTGGTCCCCGAGAAACGCGTTAAAGCTTATGCGGCGCAGCAATATGAAGACATTGAGTCCCAGGTTACTGAGCTTCTTGGCCTCGCCGAAAAGTCTATCAAGTTGATGGAAAGGAAGGAGAAAGCGCTCAAGATGAAGGTGAATCTACTTGCTTCCTAGATGGAACTATCCACTGATGCATATATATATGGAACAGGTCGAATCCTTGCAAAATAAAGAGCCGGAAGTGTCAATCGAAGCACGTAATGATGCACGAAAGGCCAAGATGCTAATTAAACAACGAGAACTACTTGAGAAGGAGCTTATCGCGCTCGAAAAGGAATGCGCAGCTCTCGAACGTTGTCTCTGATATTTCATCCTAATGCGAAGTTCGTACACGACTTTTTCACCCGGCAGGAGCATTGAACAGCTCTGGCTCCCACATATCCCTGCAACCCGACTAATAAATGTACCGCACGCAGAGGCGCTGCTAACGGTGGTGTTCGATGACCTTTCTGGACTCACTGATCAGTCTTTGGTGTCAGTGCGGCGGTGGGATATTTCCTAACATGCCCCAACGGGAATGGTACTCAGGCACCCGAGCCTAGGGGTGACGTGCCCATACTTAACCGTGCTGCATTCGTTCAACGGACTGACAGTATCTGACTCTCATCGTTTGGGTTCTTGCAATGTATATGGAAGGAGTCTCAGTAGATCAGTTATTTCTACAATATATGACTTGTTGGGCGTCAACTGCAAGTCATCTTCGACGAGTCTTTTTCCTGCGTGCACACCAAACGTGCCTTTGGAAGCAAACTTATCAATGACAGGGCTAAGCTCATCAGCCGACGTGGCCAAATTGAGTGGTATCGAATTTAAAGCAAGCTTATGATGCTGAGCTATCCCCGTTCTCGGCCTGGTGGCACGTAGCTATGCAAAAGTACTCTTGGGGTTGCCTTTCAGTGGATCGGAGGCTCACTTTCCCTTACGGCACCCAACACAAGTGATCACCGAACCGCACTTCTGAGACTTGATCCAAATACCTCAAATTCAACATTACGGACACACGCAGACGAGGGATTCATGGAATGAGTTTACTCCGCAGCCCCCATTTCCCCAATCATAACAACCTCGATCATAGATCCAGCGTGCAAGCGATCGTTCTTGCTATCCTTTGCTCTTCCTGGGAGAATGACCAACCCGTTCGCCCCAGCCAGACTGGCAATCCGACTGGAGCGCTGCCCTCCAGTCGAAGAAGCCACAAGGCCGTCCCCTGACGCTCGCACATAGACACGGTGAAACTCTGGTCTAGTGTCCACGTACAGCTCGTCGGAAATCTGAAAAAAGAGTGCTCAGGATGAGTAGAAATAAACCACAAGGATATACAGACTTACCTTCACACGAATCCTGGGAAGAAAACACCTGGAAATGGGCCAACCGCCTAGCATCCTTAAAGCGGGAAGCACAAAAATATGGAACATTACAATTGCAGAAGCTGGGTTTCCAGGAAGAGCAAAAAGGGGCTTCGAATTGACAGTAGCGAATGTCGTAGGTTTCCCTGGTTTGAGGTTCAGTCTGCCAAAATGTACAATCCCGCCAAGTTGTCTTTCGATTACTGGCTTGAGCAGGTCAGAAGTTCCCATGGAAGTTCCGCCTGTAGTTAACAGCAAGTCAGCTTCCTGGAGCCCCCGTTTAATCGTTGAGACATGGCTTTCTTCACTAAGTCCTGTATAAGACAGCTGGCCCGGACTGGGGCTAGAAAATACATACTCATCCGCGACAATACCCAAGTCCACCACTTGATATCCAAATCCTTCCAGCGCGGCTTGAAGGCTAGGACGGTTTGTGTCGAAGATCCCCTGCCAGCCATCTTTCCCATGTTCTTCGCTAGGGAAGTTTCTCGTATTATGCAAGTCCACAAGTTCATTCCCTGTACTCATGATGGCCACCACAGGTTTTTTGTAGACAGGCACCTACCGTAATAAGCCCATGAGTTGTCCATATGGTTCGTGGCAGCTGTGAGGTATATGGTGGGGTATTGCATACCTGCTTCTTCCCTATGAATGTCAGCGCTCCTACCTCACCTCCAACGGCTTGAATGACAGTCCCCTTTTCAAGAACGAGGGAACCCTTCTTTACGTCTGATCCAGGTTGTCGTACGTTTTCTCCAGGTTCTGTCCCAACTAGCAATCTCACGGTCTCTTCCTCTCCACTCTCTGTCTGGGACGACAATGAACCTTCCACTCGCTGCGATGCAGGCCCAGTTATTGTAACGAGTTCCGTGTCCTCCACCATTATTACGGCATCAGCACCATTCGGAAGCGGCGATCCAGTGTTGATGCGGTATATTGATCCATCTGGCAACGGAATACCTTTTCTTGTGTGGAAGGATTGAGGCGTCAAAACGTGATAAACACCCGGAGCATATGTCGCTGTTAGTTGGGGCGTCAGCGACCGATGATGTGAAAAGTATTTTTTCGTAGTCACATTTTACCGCATAACCGTCGACATTTGTCGATGGATGTGAGGGGAGCTGAACAGATGCGTACACGTCTTCTGCAAGTACCGATCCTCGCAGGTTTTGATTGACCTGTGACGCAGGAGATTCTGGACCGTTGATAAGGTCAGGATGCTGGTGTACTCACGGGCATGATGGAGACAGCACGAAGCGGCCGACAGTACTTCTCTACAATTTCCAAGGCATCTTTTAGCTCAATCATCGGATATGGAGAGTGTCTGTGGCGTGCGTGTGCTACAGAGGGTCAAAGTCTGTTGTTGTTGTTCTACTCGTGAGATTGTTTGCCTACCACCAAGAGATGGATCATGAGATTTCGGAGTTGGCGCGTGGTGAGGGTGAGTGTGAGAATGCACATGGGCATGCGAATGGTCATGATGAGGGTGAGTATGACCTGGAGTTGTCGATGAGGCCTTTCCACTGGCGGCGCCCCGATCAGGCAGTCCAAGCCGAGTATGGACGTCATTCCCACCCCCCCGCCGATCAAATCAATAGCGTGAGAAAGCACTCCCCCCTCCAGCAAAGCAGTGAGATTCTCTTTAACCGCTTTCGGGCTGCCTGGAAGAGTAACGATCAAAGCATTTCCAATGGTCCCCGCTACTGGTCGAGACAGGGCTGCAAGAGGTGTACGCTCAAGAGAGGCTTTCATCATCAGGTGAATTAATCCAGGAGCATGCCGATCGATCAAGGGCGAGACTGTTGAAGCAATTCAGATGGCAACCACAGGTTGGGGGATATGTATCGATACATTCCTGCCTCCGGAGTCCGGTCCCTTGTGCCCAATCCTGTACCGCCACTCGTCACGATAAACTGTATCGTACCACCGGTCAATGAACGGATCGCGCTACGTATAGCTTCGGCATCATCAGGGACGATGCGTTTTTCGAGCACTTCGAATCGAGATGAAATGCTCTCGGATAAGACTTTCTCTATGGTTGGGCCAGATGAGTCCAACAAAGAGTCTTTCGCGGCTGTATCACTGATCACTATGATAGCGACGCCGATCATGTTGACTTTCTTCCTGAATGGCTGTGCGGTTGCAGTGCTTCCCACGACCTAATTCAATGAAAGCAGGTGCTTTCAGCTTTGCACCGCCCAGCGCTTTCTATTTCTCTCACGGCCTGTGTCGCCTGTTGCCACCACCGTCTATTATTACGATTTGTCGTCTATACCAAGGCGCGGGAATACTTGATCCGCTGCCGCAATGGCGATGCAAACATTCATCTCCGCGCTAGCCCTGCCGATCGCGAGCAAAGATGGAACAACGCTCGGGAAAATGATCACATACCGCGACGAGAATTTGGAAGGCCGAAAACTCGTGTATAATATTGGTGATACTAGCGTGCGTTTGCGCTACTGCATGTGAATTCTCGTTTACGATTACGACCCCAGCCAAAAGCATTGTTAATCTATGAGAAAACTATTAAGTCCCCGTGGGATGCGATATCTATTGCTCTCATCTTAGTCATCACCAACTTTCTTGGTGATCGGTACGAAGAAGCATATCGAAACCAGGCTGTGCTGGCATCGTAAATTACTTTCTACTTAAGTCAATCATGTCCTAATATGCTGAAATCTTAGAAGATTCATTGATTACGCCCAAAAGGAGGCGCGATGGGTTCTTCCAGCGTTACGGACAGTGATATTGGACCTCCGGCAGCTTGCATCCCTTGCACATCAGTTGTCCACCGGTGACAACAAGAAATCCGACGCTTTGGAAGATGCAGCGAGAATATGCAACAAAGCTTTCACGACGTGTTTGCTAGACCGGTGGGTGCCATCATGATCAGATCTTGTGGATGCCTCATGGTTGATTTCCTCGAAAGGGCGAACAAGCTGCCAGAGTCAAGGAAATGGGGGACATACCAAGCAGTTGGCCATGTTCTAAAATGCTATTTCAAGGCAGGGTTTTTCGAGGTTTTGAGTCGCATTGGAATGATGCCCCCGTTCAGGTCCAAAAGACAGCTCTGAGCAAAAACATCCTCAGATCCCTGGAAGTACAAGAATTACCGTCTCTTTCCGAGTACCCAAAAAGTGACCAGGCAAGTAGATATCCTTAATTGCTCATATAGACGCTGAAAAGTCAGCTGTTTCGCGGCCTTCACAGGTTACTTGCCGTTACCTATTTGGCCTGCTCAAATTCTTAAATGAAGAATATGCCCAAGTGCGTCTCATGTAACTCCTCGCTGCAAAAGGCGCCGCTTTACCAACCATTTGGGTTAAGGCTCATAACGATCTTAGTGCAGCACTGGATCTTTGTCATTATGCTGCAAAGCGCAACATAGAGTAAGATGTGGCGCTCATCTGAATCAGCAGCCGCTTTCACGATGATCCCCTAGATTGATCCTGAGATACCTCGTCCCTGTACGCCTGTTGCGAGGGACATTCCCCTCGACCTATCTCCTTTCCCAATTTCCTCAGCTGCAACAACTGTATACGCCCTTTATTAACGCCATCAGAACAGGCGATGTGAAGCAGTACGACAACGCATTGCTTTGGGCCGAGCGGCGTTTGGTGGATGAAAAGGTATACCTCTGTGTAGAGAAAGCGAGGGAGGTTTGCATGAGAAGTTTTTTGAGAAAAGTGTGAGTGTCTAGGTTACCACCGAGGAAACCTACCTATAATAGTCTCTCTGACTCGGTTCGCGTTTGTGAACTCCTGACTCCTTGCTTCTAGGTGGCGCGCGAGCTCAAAACCGACCCGCCTCCCTGTTTCAACTGTTCATAAAGCGCTGCGCCTCGTAGGGCCATCGGACGTTCTCGCCGAGGAGGCAGAGTGCATAGTGGCGAACATGATCTACCGTGGCTACGTTCGTGGGTACATCAGCCATGAGAAGCAGATGATAGTGTTAGCTGCAAAGGACACGTTCCCAAGTTTGCAATGGCGCGCTGGAGTGTAATAATATCACTGTGCTCATATGATATATTAATTAGTGCTGTATAGCCCGTCTCCGACTTCCGGGCATGCTTTGCCGCGCGTCAACTCCAGCGCGTCTAACCTTGTTCCGGAATTGCCAATTTAGGATGGTACAGCCGAAGCTATCTATAGAATCCTCCAACAAGACGCGACTTGGAGCTTTAAGTCAGCAAAGCTCCACCAAACTCTTTAGTAAGATTATCCCCTCTACTGGGCCGAAAGGTAAATTAGACAACTATAAATCCCGTTCGAACCCCATTACCCACTTCCCGCACTGATCTCGCCTTAGCAGAATGGGCCATTCAAGTTCAACTTTATCCCATCGGCAACGACAGCTTTCCATCCACAGCGGAGTAGCACAGCCGGACCCAGAAGCTTACAAGAAGTTCCCCCCACCTCCATACGCCGAGCAACCTATTCTTTCGAACCCCGACTCTCTGTTAGCGGTCAATGCGGGTGATTCGCAGGCCAGCCTAGGAAGATCAAGAAGCCTGGGGAACATACCAGGGTCCACATCCACTGCGTCTGATTCGTTACTTAGTCCAACATATGTGGCACGATCGCGATCGGCTGGGCGTGCTCCAGAGCACTCAGTCCCAAGACCAGGAGCGATCCTCGGGGATGTATATGCATCCGCACCCACGGCATCTGGAGCACCCCCTACTCTAACACACCCTGCGCGATCCCGGTCGAGGCGTGTTCCGGAGCACCCACTCTCAGGTCCGGGACTGGTTCCCACCATTTCTTTCCCGATGCCAGACATAGTTTCTCCGCCAGGTGGCGGCGCCGGTGGCTTTATTTCTGAATCTACTTTTATCACTGCCGGATCACCCATGCGGGAAAATTCTTCACTTAATACATTTCCAAAGAGGAGGTCCACAGAAGAAGATTTACTTGAGATGTTAAGCACTTTTGACACGATCCTCATTATCGATGATTCAACATCAGTGAGTAATCCTGGGGTTGTTCCGCCTAAAATATTAACCTTGGAATAGATGGCAAAGGATCCTCTGAATCCACATAGCGAGGATCGCTGGAATATGGCGAAGGAGGCACTTTCCGGGCTTTTCGAAATCGCATCCCGATACGATACCGATGGGGTTGATATTCATTTCCTCAACTCCAAGAAGGTCGGGAAAAATGTTCGAGGTGCGAGAGAAGTGCATCGACTCTTCGACACGGTAAAACCAAGGGGAATCACTCCTATCGGACAAAAGCTCGAGAAACTCTTGCTTTCGTACCTTGCGCAAATCGAGAGGGCTCACGATGAGGACCGGAGACTTCTTTCTGAAGGGAAAGAAGGTCATAACTTAGAAGCGATCAAACCCGTGAACTTCATTGTCTTGACAGATGGAGCTGCCAGTACGTGTTCACTCAGCCCTAAGGGTGAAACCTCTTGCTGATCTCCCCTGCAGCGGATGACCCTGAGTCAGTTATTGTTAGCGCCGCTAGGCGTCTTGATGCTCGAAACTTCCCTCTGTCGCAAGTTGGAATCCAATTCGTCCAGATTGGGTCCGATCGCTCTGCGACACGCTTCCTACAAGAATTGGATGACGAGCTCACTACCACTCATCATATTCGAGTATGTGGTATTCTCATCGAGCGCTCATCTTTCTTCCTCGAACTGACCATTTACGGAATTGATAGGACATGGTTGATACCACCCCATATTCACCCAAGAACGGGCAGCTATCAACGCGCGACATTATTAAAATCCTGGTCGGCGGTATCAACCGCCGTATTGACAAGAAAGGAGTACCACAGTGATGAATGATTCTAACTTATCCTGATATCTGATAATTTTGGACGCTGTGCGTTTTTTGTTCTGAACAAGTACCTCCATTTTATCTGAAACCAAACGGACTCGAAGTACGGACGAGCATTGTATGATAAACCTAGACCTTCAATGTTGTACCATACACCCCAATGTACACATCAAAACGTCAAAACCAATTCAATATACACGATTCACAAAAGCGGGAATTCGCACTGCATGTCGTGACGTCACCGGAACTGCATTACTCCATGCTGCTTTCGTAGTAGTGTTCACCAGGGATGACACACAATGAGACTTCATAGGGTGAAATCCTACCTAAGGATACACTACACGAGATGTGGCTCAACTTGCTCCCTGCTGACAGGTGGCTACAAATCCGAGAATGCCCGAATGCGATCAGCGAGAATCCCAATGAGCGTTTGCACTTCATTGTCTGTCGGTGGGTTCATAAGCATAAGCATCCGCAGAAAGAAGACGTTACACGACTCACCCATTGACATGGAGGGACCTGATGCTGCTAGATCCCGCAATGCAGTCACCAGTGTCTGGAAGATGTCAAAATTCTCTATCAGCCTGTCAAGCTCGACTTCGTTGGTGTCCGAGGCGGGGGATATTTCGATCTCGTGCGCCATCACGGCAGAGGCGTCCAAGATATGGGGCTGGAAAGGTTGGCGTAAAGATGATGAAATACTAAGATGTTTGGGGAATACCCACCAAGAGCGAGATATCCCTGTAGACCGTGGACATAGGGGAGTAGGCAGCCCCCGTTTGTCTCCGGACCGCCATACTCGTGGACAGAGGTTTGAGTAAAGCGGCCATCCCTTTCGCCGCTTGGACAGCCTTTCGGCGTGCCTCAGTGACGATTCCCTCTCCAGATACCTCTACGACGTAAGGGGATTCGAGTAGAGCATTTTGCAAGATAATCACGGCCGCATACATCATTACCTCCGCCGAAAAAAGGGCTGGGTTGGGTCTGCTGGTAAAGACCGTTTCTCCATCAGGATACTGAGTTTGAGGTACCAGGTGGCCAAATTCAAGTTCGCTGTACTCGTCATTTCCGATGCTAAAGGTACTGTTCAATGAGGGCATTGTTTTTTGACATTCAAAGAGAGATGCCTCGAGGAAGTTGAATGTTTGCCAGAATGGAATGCTAGAGGACCCCGAGCTAGACTCAACGTCTCCTAATCGGTGGTGAGTCAGAGTGCACAAGACGTTTCAGTGTAAACATACCCCTATTGCGCGCACGGAAGAGTCGTATGCCTTCAAAAAGCAATTCTATCCTGGCTCTGAGACAAACATGATCGATTTCTCTACTGACGTCGAATATGCCAGGATTGGGGGGCGCATTGGGCGAGGCCAAGTGACGGATCCAATCAGGGTTAGAGATTCCCAAGGCAGTGATGGGGAGATTCTGGAAGCTGATACCACATGCAGATCTATAGACTTCAGAAAGCGCCTAGGTGAAATTAGCCGGCGTCAGATTACAACGATCCCTTTTAGAATCGGGCCACCCACATCCTCAGGCAATGAACTGGGCAGTCCTGATTCTCTTGTGAGTATGCGATCCGCCACATTCAATGCAGACCAGATGCGCCTTTGTTCAATCATCTCGAGATCATTTCTAGGGAGAGGCAGCAAGCCTGCGCTACTACCTTGATGCTGAGCAGCAGTCAATGGTTGCAGTCCACAAGCGATAGCGAATCGAATGGCGCCAGATAAAGTCGTGTAAGCTTCGGGATACCGACGAGTGCGAGTAAAGTAGACTCCTAGCAGAGTCGAAGCGAGAAGGAAGTCCACAAGACGATCAACGAAAGCCAATGATGCATCCAGATCCGCGCGCGTCCGAGTCACAAAGACGGGTTCAAATGAAGACATAGAGCCCCCGCCAACATAGCAAGCAAGAAGGTACATTGAATTCATAAGGCAGGGGTGAAGGGTGCCGCCATTGGTAGGAAAAAAAGGGGGGCCTTGGAGCAGCCTTGCAATAAGTGGACCAGAATGGAATTGGAAACGATGAGCCAAGAAGATACGAAGACTTAACATTTAATGCAGTCAGACCCAAAGGGGAAATGCGACCTGGACGAGGCACACATACAGATAATCTTTGAGTTGGTTAGGCATTTCTGTCTGCATATCCCAATTCTCCAGAGCGCGTTCTATCGCGACACGAGCAATAACTTTTGGGTAAGGCTCTTCTGAATGAGAAAACGGCTGGTCTTCTGCAGATACGAAGGCTACATCAGAGGAAAGAAATGACGAAGGGAATACTGGTATGGTCTCGGGGACATGGAGTGCCTTGGCGGTATAGAGCTCCTGCACACTCTCGAGCTGAGGTAGAGTGGCTAGCCGAGAAGCCCGTGGGCTTTCAGAGGTTCCAGTACCGCCCGTGTCGTGGATAGGCGAAGTCGGGGTAGATCTCAGTGCGGCTACCTTGCTCTCCAAGCTCTCTACCGCTTCTTCTAGCTGTTTAACCCTGTCACTGGGAGTTCTCGCATACCCGCATGACTTCCCAAGCCTAAGACATCGTCCACACGTTGGCCTTACGCCATCGCATTTCTAATATTATAAAGGATGTGGTCAGATTCGGGTGTGCAATCATGCAGACCTGGTGCCTCACAGTCTTCCCCTGGCGACACACCAGGCATGCAAGTCCTGATTCGAGCAAGTCCTGGCGTTTTCTAGAGACCTTCGAGGCCGAGGCAGCCATTGGTGCTTGAGGGCTTGAAGGGAACATTCGTCGCGGGCGGCATTTATCGACGAACCAAAAATATTCAAACCTTGCCATGGGAAGTGAAACAAGCAGTCATTGTGATACTAATTGTACCTTCAACATAATATTGGAGGCTTAAAATGCCGACTTAAAACGTTTCAAGAAAGGCCATCCTTCTAGCTGGTGGAGGTAGATGCCCGTTGGAGGCGTCCATCTCTGCAGAAACTGTTGAAGCGCGGCTAAAGGTTATTCAAGAAACTGCTGCTATCGAGTCTAAAATGAATGGATAGAGAAGGCATCATCATGGTAAACTGTGGCTCAGGACCGCAGCATGTTCCCAATACAGAAAACAATTAGACACCTTACTACGTTTCAGAGCGCACCTGAGCCGCACAGTCCAATATGAACTGTGATGTTGAAACTTGTTCATCAATGATCACTCATGTGCTGCCATTGAGCTGTTCCGGGACTCGGGACCGGTGACCATGAAGCGCCGACCCAGGAACCAGTGTTGGTCTCACACCAGGGGAGTTGTTGGGCTGAGCCTGTTTAAACTTCTGCGGACCTCCACCGATTGAGGTTCGATCAACTCCGCGTGCGACGGGCCTCCATTCGTTGGAGATACAGGACGCCGCGAGGAAGGCCGACGCCAGGCGGCAGAGGTGGGTGTTGCAGCATGGTGACATATGTCGAGACTTCTGAATTACATCTCGTTCCTCCCAAATGTCAACCAATCATTTACCTGTTTTGGCTTGAATTGAATTGTGAGCTCAGCCGTCAAACTTCTTTTGCTGTGAAAATGCATGCAACACAAGCCTTAGATTAATCAATGAGTACTCTTCAAACCAAGTCGGTCATGCCAGGGGAACGTAGGAGATAGGGCGTGGTTATCGTCACACTGAACAGTGGATGTGCATGATAACTCGGAACGGCTGAATTAGGCAGGACCCCAGCCTCTATAGTGGAATATAGCGGCTGAATGGCGAATTTTAAAAAATGTGTCCAACAATTAGTCCCTTCATGGGAAGGCTGAAACGCTGAAAGAGTCTGATTTTGGCGAGATTTGAAAGCGACAATTTCGGTCGTTTCGCCGGCGCCATTTCTCAAGTTTCGAAATGCATCCCTTGTAACTAGTGCGGTGCGGTGTTGGCAAGTGTCTGTACTCCGTTCTGATAGAGGCTGTCGATAGGCTTCTGGGCCGTACGGCATTGCGGCTGCAGATCCTCCAGTACGGTGACAACAGAGATAGAAGACGCCGACATGCATTCATGCAGAAATTGAAATACTTGTGCGGGGCACGTGCCGCGCAAGACAACTCCGTAAGCGCTGCACAGCAGTGTTCGTCCTGGTGAAATTACGCTATTTCTGCCACTTGTGCTGACGTGTTCAATTTCCATTCTGGGTTTCACCCAGTGACTTTTATATTCTTTACGTACTATTAGTAGACAAATCTTGTATGTCGCATGTCACTCACTTTGCAACCCCCTTCATCTCCTGTATCATAGCGTGTTATGTAACTAGATTCGTATAATGACGCTTGGATCGAATGCTGTGCAGGTAGCAGCGATGCGAAGCACGCACTCTAGTTGATAGAACCCTCGGAAATGAAAACTGAGGGATAGAAGTCAACAAAAAGCTCGTGCTAGAAAGAATCATTGCGTGGTGATTTCTACAACCAGCACGCACGCAAGGGAACGTCGACACCATGACACAAACCTGGCCAGGAGGGATTGTGGTTTACCTCATCGTCAACTATCTGCATCCCTATTGTGAGAAATTTATACGTGACTTAGCGATCTGCCGTGAGGCTGCGACGCCTGAGTTTCGGTTCCAGGGATTTTGTGTGTGTCTACCATGACAGGTTATTCGTTTCTAGGCTGCTTCCTAGGATCCTACGTGCTGCTGCCCATTCCTTTGCACTTTCTCATGCGGCCTCGGCGGGATTCCAGCCCCGACTAGAGTAGGTGGGCTGCATGCTTTTCCGTCTCCCGGGTGACAACCCACCTCCCCACAGCCATACTCAATGTCCCATTCTTCTTGCCGGTGGAGCATCATCCGATCTGGAAATTCCTCCATGTGCCACAAGACCAATCACTGAGGGATGGCTTCGTGTCTTTTTTTTTTGTCCAAGCAGCCCGCGCGTCGACTTGAGCGATGGCTAGGAGGCGAGATCTTCATGCGTTGACTCTCCCCCATTAATCTGGCTTTTTGTAGCTGGTGGCTGGACTAACGCGGCGATCGCTTCACATCTGCTAGGGATCCTGCCTCTCTCATGGAACTTAGGGAATGGCTTTGGTACGAGGCTTGACTTAGTTAGAGGCACCATCGTATGGTAGGTTTACACCAGTAACGTGCAACCCATCCGGGATCATTGTTGTCCCTCCCTCGGGATCGTTAGGAAGGTCTGGGACTCGAACTTTCTCATCGTTAAGCCTGCCATCGATCCCGATCAATGGCGCTGTGAAGTGGCCATGGTTCATTTCCGCCCTGTCTTTTCTGGCACCCTACAAGTTTTTTTTACACCCTCGTCAACATCCCATCAGCCATTTTGTCAACCTCCTTTGTTATCACTCATGTGACGGTTTGTTTTTTGGCCGGCAAAGTTGACACAATTCAATCGCTTCGCACCAGGGGATCAGAGCTGGATGTTGTCCTACGAGCCCTTGCGGAAACCGCCATAGTTAGTTCCAGCCGTATATAAATGGTTATTATAAGCAGATGATTAAGGAATTGATGAAGAACACATGCACCGAGAAGCAAGGGGCATGGAGCAGCTGAGTACATTAAACGGACTCGGTGTAATACATACAGCGACAAACCAAATCATATGCTGATCGGATCCACAGCCCCAAATTCTTCATGAGGGACGTTTAGGCTTAGAGTTCAAAACATCTCTGGCCTTCTCTGGTGCATTCCCACACTTGTGAGGTTACGCAGGCATCTGAACACCGTCGAATGTATAGGGCGCGGACCAATTCCCGGATCGCGGAGTTGCCAATATGTAGCTTCTCCACGACATCATGCGTCCCGGTCGGTCGAGATGCTGGGTTCAAGATTTCCATCCTTGGCCAGTCCCAACTCCTCTGTTCGTCGCTAGGCAATGATTCTCGGGTCTACTGCGTAACAATATTCTCCGCTGTTCCAATGGCCGAGAACACGAGAAAGGGAACTAATACAACGATCTTAATTAATGGCCAACGTGGTGCTGCTTACATAAAGGTACATAAGCGTCGTCACATCGGGTACCTGGGGGCTTCACGGATGATGGCCAGCTCAACATCCCCGGTGGACGACTCAACGCCCTCTCCAAGCGCCGACGCTTCACTTGGACTTACAAAACCAACCACACATCTCCGTATTAAGCATGCACCGTTCAAGCTCATGCACCCTACCTACCTTGAAGATGATCACACCACGGCTCAAGGGACTCAGTGGCACTCTCGTGCTTCAAGGAAACATTTATATACAGTAAAACTCGCCAAGGTTCATCTCGATAAGCCGTCCACTGATGCCGAGAAAGCCACCACTAGTGAATTTAAGATACGCGGAGAATTACGGCTAAGGACATGTCATCCACATTCCCTGTTGAAACCCCGTCTGGCTTGGGATATCTCATTTTGGGTTGCAGTGTGGTTTGTGTGTGGGTCTGCAGCATGGGTGAGCACTCGCTGCGCATTGTATCCACATTCACTCACTTATATCGTACCCCCTCTTGCCTGGCGGTATCATCAATATAGATCATAAACGGGTTTTTACTGTTTATCCCTTTACTCTACGAAAGTTCCAGCCAAGGAGTCCAAGCAGCGGCATGGGGGTTCGTGGGAGGCACATTCTTCGAAGTCGGCGCATTTCTCATGTTCATCGAGTCGCTTAACTCTGGACATGAAGAGCTGTACAAGAAAGCACTTAGGAGCATTTTGAACGAAGATGGAGGCACGAGAAAACAAGAGAGGGGGAAACTTCGTTTATTGTATGTACTCTCTAGATGGTACCGCTCGAATTTTTACTCAACGTAGGCACAATTGAAAAAGTGGGCTTGCACCATTTCGCGATATTGGTTTCCTGGGCTCGACCATTCAACTATGTTCCGCATCCATCTTCTGGATCTCAACTCTGTTTGTCCTTACTGATCTAATTTATTCCCCGGAAGTCTGATGTGATATGGTCGTTAGAACAGGCCTACCTGGAGTGATACCCGGCTTCCCTGGGACGTCATCAGTAGCTATTACTGATGTTTTCTACTGGACGCCTCAAGTGATAGGTGGGACGGGTTTCACGATCGCATCTGTGCTTTTTTCCCTCGAGTGTCAAAAGGCATGGTGGAAACCGAATCCATCATCATTAGGATGGTGCGTGGCCTACCTTAAGTTCGATCAATAGGTATTTGTGTAACGAACTCTCACTTAGGCACGTCGGATTTTGGAACCTTCTAGGATCTGTTGGGTTCACCCTTTGCGGAGCCTTTGGCTACGGGTCTGTTGGGAATTCGTGGATGAATTACCAATCTATTCTGTCAACGTTCTGGGGCTCCTGGGCTTTCATGGTAAGATTCAGAGAAATATTTGCATATGCCTGATGACGAATTCGCTGAAATACAGATCGGGAGTTTGTGCCAGCTTTGGGAGAGCATATGGAGAGAAGCTAATACATGAAGTTCATGTCCAACTAATAAAATTTACTCGAATTTGCTATATGTATACATCGTAGAGGCTAGAATCCTGCCTGGCTAGAACTCGATGGGCAACTGCCTATCGGGGTACAATTGAGCCAGATAAGTAATATAAGGTAAGTATTAACCAGAGATATCATCAGCTGGTGTCCCTGATTAGTATATAGAACCAAAACGTAGTGTTAACACCTGGATTCAACAGAGCTCAGGCTGAAGGCCGGTATTGCTCCCACACACATCCGAGCATCCCGAAAATCAACTCAATAGAAAACTCGGGTTTCCGGAAGTCCTATCACTGAGCATTGCTGGATGTCTTCGGGGTCACAGTGCGCCATGTCCGGTCATCATAACGCGTTCACAATGGCTACTCCGCGATTCTGGGTGAATGGGAATTCGGCGCACCGCAAAAGCGGACCTGGAACGTTATTATGCATCGAAGGGCACTTACAATATGTGGTTCCTGACGGCCCTAGCACTTACCATGGTCGTCTTATCTTCCCCGGGGATTTCGAAAGACGGTGCGACGAATATGCCGCCCTCCCTTGGTCTAACCATACCGCTTCTCCGTACTGAATATGCACCTACCCACGTTGGAGACACGAGGCTGGGACTCAAGGTGGCCATGCTTCAAGGAAACATCTATACACAGCAAAGCCTACCACTGATGCTGAGAAGGCCACAACTAGTGAAAGGATTCGCGGAGAAATGCAGCTTTAAAGACACGTCATCTACGTTCACATTTGAAACCTCGCATGGCTTAGGATATCTCATTTTGGGTTGCCGTGTGGTTTGCGTGGCGGCGAACAGCGTGTCTATATATGTTGTACTCTCACATGGCACCGAAATAGATTATAAAAGGCTTTTTCTGTCTGTTCCTCTGCTTCATGCAGGTCCTAAGCATCAAGTCCTAGCAGCAGCGTGGGCATTCATAGGAGGCACATCCTTCGAAGTCGGTGCATTTCTCATGTTTGTCGAGTCGCTTAATTCTGGACACGAGGTGCTATACAAAAAGGCTCTGGGGGATTTTCAAGCAAAGACAAGGACACGAGAAAACAGGAGAGGAAGAAACTTGGTTTATCATACGCACTCTCGATAAAGGAACTGCTCGAACGGGTTTTGCTGAACATTTTGGCCTCCTGGCTTCGACGATTCAACTCTGTGCTGCGTCTATCTTCTGGATTTCATCTCTGTCCTCACCGATCCCATCCATTCGCTGGAAAACTGATGTAACGTGGTCATTAGAAGTAACCTACCCGGCTTCCCTGAGACGTCATCGCTGGTCATTACTGACATTTTTCTACTGGACACATCAGGTGGTAGGCGGATCGGGTTTCACGATCGCCCCTGCTTTATGCCCTCGAATGTCAAAAAGCATGGGCGGAGGTTGAGACCATGGTCAATAAGATGGTGCACAACCCACTTCAACCGTGATTGGTGTAACACACCCCTCAGCCTTTGCAGGGAATGAGTTGGGAAGGCTCGCGAGGCATGTCGGATTCTGGAACAGGGATATGTTGGGTTCGCCCTTTCTGGTGCCTTTGGTTATGGATCTGTCGGACATTCATGGATGAATTACCCAGTTTGTTGTTGTCAACGTTCTGCGGTTCTTGGGCTTTATGGTGAGAACATTCGCAGATATGCAGTGACGAATTGGCTGAAACCTAGATTGGGAGTTTATGAGAGTATCTGGAGAGAGGCCGACACATGAAATGTTTGTTCCACCAATAAAACCAGAATAAAGGATTGAAGTGATTAACGTACAGGTGTCCGACTATCATGCACATAAGCCGGATATAATAGAATAGTGTGTAAACTCTACACATCGGAAGCCACTGAGTCACCGGCATGACATCTACGCACTGGATCCGACGGAGTTAAGGGTATTGCTCTGCACAAAGAGATCAAAGGAGATCGGAGGTCAGAGAATACTCCCATCATAGACAGACTCAGATTCCCCAAAGGGGGGTTGGAAAAATTATGACGAACAACACATATCTCGTGTGTGATCGATGAAGTTGTCAACCGCGGTCCCAGAGTAATCTGAATCGAGTTCGGTGGTAAGCTCGCATCGGATGACACGAGCATCTTTCCACTGCGCTGCGAATTGCACCAAAGTGACCGCCCCCTTTTTTCCAGGTCGTGATGACCACAATGGAAAAAAAAGGGTAGAAAGGACGGTTCGATCCCTGCGACGATTTTCAACACTCTACCACTATCCCATTCCCTCCACTCTGAAGGGAAAAACTCGCAGAGTATCTCTGGGCTGTCTTTCAACTAGACGGGGGAAGATGGAGTGGCTTTTCTGGTACGTCGCTCAACGAAGTTATCGTTGGACTCCTCTCGAGCCGATCAAGAGGGATTAGAATACTCAGACTTTAGCCCGCTCGTAAGTGTAGATGAACAACTATCGAACGAGTCATCTTGTGCGTGACGAGCCTCGCAGCCTTGGAACCGCGGTTGAATCACATATCGTGTGAAGATAAGCCTGGAAAAGATTTTTATACTTTTGTGACTCGGACATCAGGTGACATCATGCCATCATGCAAGGATTACTCGCCTCCAAAAAGAATGTCTTGTTTCTTTTTGGAATTGGGGGTTATGGCATACGCAGTTTCGAACTCGAGTGGGACGACAAACTTCTTCCCCATCTGATGTACAGCATTATCTTATAAGACGAAATGTTGGACTAGCGAGTTTATCGCTCAGTCCCGTTGTACGTGAACTAGAATAGATTAAAAAGTAATCACCTAGCGAGTTTATCGCTGGTGGACTAATGTTTAGTACATGATTTAAAACATGATATAACCAACATACCTCAGTCCAGTTGTACGTGAACTGAGGGAAGGTTGGGTTGTCCAAAAATTGGGGTTTTATAGTCAGGCGCTATGAATGCGCACTGACTTTGGCACGGACGCCACCAAGAAAGGCAATAGGTGTAAATCTAAACGCCACACGACTCAACATCACCAAACGTGAGTTGGTCATAGCGAACACCATAATACCAAGAATTCTAACATATCTATCGTCTTTACAAGCCAGATCATTTTGCGGATGCAAGGTATACGAAGTGCCCTGCAGTGGACAATTTTGTTCCATATACTGTGTGCCTCCCTGGGGATAAGCCAGGGGAGACAATAACGTGCCCCAACTTCACTCCCATCTATGCCAGCAATCCCTTTCAGACCCACACGCATGTCCTCTCAAGCCCAGACTCTGAAGTCTTGGTTCAGGGAAAACTCTTAACGGTGCTTAAAGACCGAGTTGGGACCAGATTCGATGAACACACGATCCTCTCCATCATAGGGAAAATGCCTGGCGTGGTTGAAATGGTGTACCATCATGTATTTGACCTTCCTCTGCCCCTTGGTGACACCAGAAGAAAGTATTTCACGGGACTGCGGCAATTTGGGAAACCTTTCATGAGCATCCCTACTCTGCGGCAGATGTTGGAGACCGCATATGATGTCATGGAAGGTATTTTGGTCTTATTGGCTTTCTTCCATATATTCACATGTCTGCAGTGTTGCGGAATTTACGTTTCGAATCCCAAATCCTACATCGCGACATTAGCAAAGGGAGTGTTCTTTATATTGATGATAAGTCACCCCCGACGACAATTGCCTGTAGTACTCCACATGCCAACTTTGGTGGAGCAAGCCAGGCGGTTACAGTCACTGCCACAGGCTCATCCCTTTGCTTCATTAAGTATCTCCTCAATGAGAGGTATGTTGCAGTATGGGGCAATGGGGTGGTCACTGATGCAAGACTGAACCTAGCTGTGATCCCTGCGAAACATCGGCACTGCTCATTGATTTCAACCATGGTGAACATCTTACAAGAAAACAGAGTCTTGAGCACAAGCGAACTGAACGAACGGTCAGTTGTGTCTTATCTTCTCTTTGTAACCTATTTCATTTGCATTATCAGGGCACCCCTGTCTTCATGGCCTGTGCCCTTCAACTGAGGAAACCAGTGCCACTTCACATTCCCTCGATTCTCGCTGCAGTACCTCATAGTCCTGAACCCTATACTTTGGCCCACCCGGACCGTGTTGCTAAATTCCCATCCACACCACCTAGAATGCTCATCAACCACCCGGGTGATTGTAACAATCGTGAATGGAGGCATGAACTTGATCACGACACGGAGTCTATCTGGTGGTTACTCCTTTACTGGACGGTGACTGTGCAACCCAAAGGGGAGCCAGATGAATTCATTGCTCACTCCACCTGGTCGCTTTTAACAGGAGATCGTTGGGATAGACTGATTCGTGACCTGGCCAGCGGGCCCGGAGAGCCGGACGAGGGCACTGGGACCGACATCCACACCCTCTACTACAAACCACTGCGGCCTTTGCTTGTCAGGCTCGCCGAGATTCTTGTCATTGACAGATATTGGCTGGAGGACTCTGAAACGCGAAATGCACCACAATATGTTAGCGAGGCATTTCAACGTTTGATCCTCCAATTTATCCTTGACAATCGTAAGGCGGATTTCATGGTGCGCCAGGTTAAAGAGCGCCCCCGTCGAGTTGAAAAGGGCTCGCAAGAGCCAAGCCATTCTGCTACAGCCAGCCAGAGGAGGAATGCTGAGGTCAGTAGCAAGATCAGTAGTAGACGCTCATCCTCCCTTTCCTCAATCCAGGAGGAGCACATCACGCAGCCTGCCAAGGAGGTAACGGAGGTATGCTATTGAGGCATTTTTTGGTCTCGGATTCCTGTCTCTTACGGACACGCTTCCTTAGGACAGTGCACATGGGGGTGAAGATATGGATTGGTCTGCCAACAAAGGGTTTATAAAGTCGAATAATATGTAATCCCTGTCAACAAGCATGTAATATAATTTGTTCCGCTGCTTGAGGTTGAAGTGCTTGAGTCAGCGAGTGAAAGGTTGTCTTACTAGTTTGGGGACGGTAATGTTCCGTTCCCCCGTTCGCCTCAGGCCTCAGTAATCCGTCTAAGTATACGCTTGATTTGGCTGTATATTGACGGGGTAGAAGTAAAGGCTAATCTGCCTTTTACAGCTACCCCGAGGGTTTATATACAATCTTATACATTCTCGGCACAAATAAATAGAGAAGCTTCCGCGACGCTAAATTAGCGTCGCGACATAATTATTACACAACACAACATCAACTGATGTTGTGGGCGGAATATAGACATGGGCCGGGGCCTCACATCCTCCTCCCTTGCGATACTAGATCGCAGACAGGGTACTAGCATATATACACCAGGGGAAAGCAAGCATTTTTAAAGAAATCAATTCAATTTTTTTTTACGTTCTACATACGAAGAATGTATGCAAACGGGGGCACACTCATTGCAGGAGGCTATAATAGTATTTTGTAGGCGAAGCCCACTTAGAGTTTCTCCTGGAACATATGCACCCAGATCTTGACGACAGTGTTGTCGACGATGGAACGACTTTCTCGTCGTTGTGAGTTTATTAAATACCATCGTCCACCGTGACGATGTTGATAGTGTAGGTCGTCGACGGCAGAGTTGTCGCCGACGAGAAAATGAATAATCAACGACGATTGCGTTGACGAAGGACGAAGGGTACAGAATAGACAATCAACGACAGCATTGTCGTTGACGAAGGTAAGAGATTATTGATCAACGACGGCCTTGTCGTTGACGAAGGTATGGATGAGGGGGGGTCAGTTCCTCATTCGTTTACGCGGCGCTGACCTGGACGGGCCAGAGCCGGATGGGCGATTCGACGTGGTCCTACGAGTCGTCGTGGACCTAGCCGCATCGACGGCGACATCGTCACTCAGATAGTTGTCGTCGTAGTGACGAGTCTCGACATCAGCGTCGTTCATGGACGAATCCTCGTCTTGACGACGGTGCGAATAATGGACATGGTGCGCGGGATGGCCACGTCCATGAGAAGAGGGCGCACGCCCTCGCACTGGTGGTGCGTGGGCGGATTCGTACACCGACGAGTGTGCATACGTCGGAGGGGGGTATTGCGGCGGAGGTGGGGCGTTTGAATACGCCACAGGGTGTGGGCTCGCGTACATCATAGGCGGGTTTGAGTACGACGTTGGGGGAGGGTTCGAGTACATAAGTGCTCGTTCCTGGCGTTGAATTTTACGACGCTCACGAGCGTCGTCAGTCATTGGTTTTATCCATCGACACGCGAGGATGTACATCCATGCAATACGAGCCGGGGGGTACTGGTCGGGAAGTCTTTTCGCCTCCGTCTCAATGTCGTCGCACGACATACGCATTCGTGAGGCGCGGTTGTTCGTAGCCACCCTGTACCAATCGGTACAGGTGTCGACGTCCTCTTGCGAGGGCTTGCCCGTCTTGAACGACCAGGCAAGATGGTACATTGTAGCATAGAACCTCACACCCTCTTCGGTGTGTATGTAGTTACGAACCAACTCGAACCACTTAGGTTCTTTGTCGCGGACGAGCGCAGCCGCGTCTGGGAATTCGATTCTATCGACATGGTCGATGTCGTAGAAGCGGGTAGGAAGGGCCACCGATCGACAATATGTCGGTGGGGGTAGGGGTTCGCCATGCACTTCAGTGAGTTTGGCATCGTAGTACTCGTAGTAATGGTAGCCGGGTGGACGGTTCGCGACGAATTCTTCGAACGGGGCATCAGGGTCGACGACCCATTCGCCTTCCATCTCGTCATCGTCGGACGTGGGGGCCCATCTCTTGGAAGAGGTGGTTTTCTTCGACGGCGCAGACTTGGCCGACGCAGGATCCACCGGGCCAACCCCGGGGATAACGATGGTTTGGGGAACAGTGGGCCGTGACGACGAGGGAGCAGAAGATGTGATCGGGGCAGGTTTGGGAGACGCAGGGCGTCCCCTCGCCGTGCGCGCGACTCTAAAGACGTCCTCGTTGAGTTCATCGTTGGCCTTTCGGAGGGATTCGACCCGTCGATGAAGACGGTCGTTTTCAGAACGCAGGTCGTCGGCCTCGTTCTGCAGCATCTCATACTTGTTCCTGAGCTCATCGAGCTCATCACTCCTACGTTCGTCTTCGAACGTAGTCTCTTTGCGTTTCTCGAGTTTCTTCTCGATACGGGCCCACACGACTTCTGTAATCATTTCGAGTTGATCGAGCCCTGTCTGCGTGGAACGCGGCAGGTGGGGGTATTTCTCACTCGCGCTTACGCGAGTGGGCAGGACCAAATGGTCCTGTTTTGGGGTTAAAACGCCCGTGCTGGGCGTTCCAGGGGTGACAGTCTGAGCGACTGTGGAGTTGTCGTCCATTGACGACATGGCAGCATCCGTGATGGGACTTACAGGTGGGGAGTTTGGACTGGAGTCTACGAGGGCCTCCTTGATGGGGGAAAGGTCGAGGGAGGAATCAGCGAGGGGGATTCAGTCGCGTTCATTTGAGCGATTTCAAATTTGATGGTAGGAAGCAGGAATTGATCCCGCTTTCGTCGCATTTATCCGATATTATTCGGATATTCCCGGACTTGCCAGTTTAGGCAACTCATGGCTTCAACGCCATAGTTGGCCGTGATAAGGCATTGATATCCGCTGGTATCGGACCGGTAGGCGACGTTCACGCCGTGGTCGTGATGGTCCGCTGGATCTATTGTCCGGCGTCTGATCCCGTCGTTGACGGTTCAGTTCCTCGACGTTCTCTACCCCTTGTACTGTTAGGTAGTCATCCAACGCAATTAGATCGTTTACGTTGGCCAAGGGTTCCCAAGTAAGGTCACCAAGTCCCCATCGGACACGGAACCATAAAGACTTATCGTCGTCCCATCGATGGTCGACGATTTCCTTAACCTGGTATTCCCGTTCTGGGTCGTCGCCAAAGTCGTAAAACACTTCTACGGCGCGCCCAGGGAACAGCACAGAATCATTCGGCTCATGAGGTGCGAGCCGTGAGACGTGGAACTTCGCAAAGATATTTCTTTGCGTCAACACTGGGGGAAGCCTGAGGACGTAGTTTGATGAGTCCTCAAATACCTCCAGTATTTCGTAGGGGCCAATATAAGTTGGCAACAACTTATGCGCCCTCCCCTTGGGGAGGTTCAGATCTTTCGTTGAAAGATATGCGTAGTCCCCTTTCTTCAGTTTTGGGGAATCAGGGCGCCGATGTCAGTTCGCCTGGATAGCCTGTTCTACACGACTCTTAATAATAGCGTCGTGAGCGGCCTGGATGTTGTCCAGGGCCCACTGGGCAAAGGATTTCACCCCCGGCAATTCGGATGACGGCAGAGACACGGTCATTTGTGGGAGGTATCCGTATACCAACTCAAACGGGGCGAATCCCGTTGATTTGTTCGCACTTGAGTTCAATGCGAATTCTACCATAGGTATATGCACGGCCCAATCTCGCTGATCGGGTCGGACGAATGACCGAAGGATCTGGACCACCGTCTGGATCGCTCGTTCTGCTTGGCCATCCCCTTGAGGATGGAATGCGGTAGTTAACTTGAGTTTAACACCCATGAGTCGGTGTAACTCAGTCCAAAATTGAGACGTAAACTTCGTGTCACGGTCTGACACGATGGATGTTGGCATGCCGTGCAAGCGCACGACATGTTGCAGGAACAGATGCGCCAGTTCAATAGTCTTGACCTGGGTCGTCACAGGCACTAGGTGAACCTGGCACGTTAGTCGGCACAGAACTACCCAGAGGTAGTTATAACTCAGGCTCGTCGGGAATGGTCCGACGAAATCCATGGCGATTGACTCCCAAGGTTTCTCAGGGACCGGGAGCTGGTGAAGCAGTCCCGGATATCTGAGTTTGCTTTTCTTGGTCGTCTGGCACGTCCCGCAGGACGTGCAGAATTTCTCGATGTCTTTTGACATCGAAGACCACCAGTAGTGTTTGCGTATGTACTCGAGCGTCTTCTTGGCGCCGAGGTGACCAAGGATGCGGTGTGCGTGCTCGATCGCGATGCCCGTTATCCTCTCCCCTTTATGAATAGATTCAGGGAGGACAAGTCGTGGCTCGCCTGAATCATTCAGACGGAAAATTAGGCCATCGACGATCGAGAACCTAGGGAAATCCCCAGGTTTTGCCAGGATCCCTCTCCAAGCATTGTGTTTGGAGTAACCGTCTTTCACACTTGCGATGAAAGCTTTGTCCTCTACATGAGGACGTAGCTCTGCCAATGGCGGCAGTACATCTTCGAGGGAAAGCTCCCTCCTCCCTTGACGATCGTCAGGGGGATCGAGCACGGATGCCTCGAGATCTCGTGGCTCTTGAGCGTCTCCGATAGAGTGGGACGCGCCCAGCCGTATGCACTGCAGTCTCAACCTGTGCAGGTGTAGTAATTCCCATGCTTCCTCAGCACGCGCCAAGGGCAGATCGTCGCCCTCTTTATCAATTCGTATGTCTGCGGATACGTAATCGTCGTAGTGGACATCCTCGTCTGACGAGGACTCATAGTATCGCGACAGGGCGTCAGCCACTTTGTTTGTGTGGCCTTGTACATACACGATGTCACAATTGAAACCGTGAAAGAAATTCTGCCAACGAATGTGACGCGGCGCAGTGTGATTCTTCTCTTTGAAGTAAGTAAGCGCCTTGTGGTCAGTGACCACAGTGAATTTCCGCCCACCAGTCAGCTCGTCCAGCCATTTGGTGAGCGCTTCCAGAACGCCTAGAGCTTCTAGCTCATAGGCGAAATACGCCCGTTGAGTCGGGGTGAACTTCTTCGACATAAACGCAGCAGGGTTAGAGGTTTGCCATTCTGCACCCTGTGCGAGCACGGCCCCGACGCCAGCGGGGCAGGCGTCGGTGATCACCCAGACACGGTACTTGTTTTGGTCTTCTGAATCCGGTATATCCCAGATTATGGGCTTTAGAATCGGCGTCTTGCACGCGATTATTTTGATCTGCGCGAAACATTTTT